AGCACTATGCTCAATGACCTCAATAGTGTTTCCCAACGGATAGGTCTTAAGATGAACATGGACAAAACAAAGATCATGTTTAATGTCCATGTCACACCTATGCCGGTAGTTGTTGGGAACACTAAGCTCGAAGTTGTTGACGAGTATGTTTACCTGGGACAAATAGTCTGACTAGGTAAGTCCAACTTCGACCGAGAGGTCAATCGACGGATTCAACTCGGCTGGGCAGCGTTCGGGAAGCTAAGACACATCTTCTCGTCAGACATACCTCAAAACCTTAAAACGAAATTGTACAACCAGTGCGTGTTGCCAGTGATGACTTACGGAACTGAGACGTGGTCCTTCACTGCTGGCCGGATGAGAAAGCTCAAGGTCGCTCAGCGAGCTATGGAGAGGGCTATGCTCGCAGTTTCTCTGCGTGATAAACTTAGGAATGAGGATATCCGCAGTAGAACCAGAGTAACCGACATAGCCCAACGGATTAGTAAGCTGAAGTGGCAGTGGGCCGGCCATATAGCTCGAAGAACCGACAACCGATGGGGAAGAAAGGTTCTCGAGTGGCGGCCTCGTACCGGTAGGCGAAGTGTAGGGCGTCCCCCCACGAGATGGAGTGACGACCTGGTAAGACATGCAGGAAGTCGATGGATGCAGGTGGCTCAGGACCGTGCTTTGTGGCATTCTTTGGGGGAGGCCTATGTTCAGCAGTGGACTTGTGAAGGGCTGTAATGATGATGATGATGATGAAGTTACTCCTTATAACATGAGCTATCTGCCAGTGTCTAAAGTCCTGTCAAAATCGGCCTAGCTGTTTCGGAGTTTAGCCGAAATAAATAGACAGACAGACAGACAAAAATTTTAATTTTTTTTTGTTATTAGTGCCGTATATACTTTCAAATGCATAGTAAGAAGCTGTTATTTTAACATTACAAAAAGACACTTCAATTTTATTTATTTGTATAGATGCATAAAACTTATCTTAATAACGTACCCAGAAGTTTGTAATTTATTTTTTAAACTATTCTCATGTAAGTGAATGTATGAGATAGAAGAGATTTAACTATGAGATTTAAGATAAGAGATTTAACATATGAGAATAAAGATATATCAGACCACATCTTACGAAAATTTCACTGATTATAGTGGCCTGTCTGCGGTAATGTCAATATCACTCACACGAGAAATTTTGAATTTGTAAAGAAAAACTACAAAATCGTCACTTGTTTAATTTTATTTAAAAAATGTTGTCAAGCGTATGATAATCGCACCAAATATATATATTACATATGTTCGAAATAAGAAAAGCAAGGCGTTTCGATTGTGTATCTCTAAGAATATTTATTTACATTGATAATTTTATATCTCGCGGAGATAAAGAATCTGATTATAAATGGCATCGCCTGTATTCACCTCTCGCTCGCACACTATCTCTGTATATACTCGAACCCCATAACAAAAAAATAACGTTATTCATATATTGTATAAAGGTTTTTTGCCTTTTGTTTTTAATTTCTGTCCCGTTTTGTTACTATATTTATAGTATTTTTATTTTTAGTATTACATTGTTTTATTTAGTAGTCTACTTAATTTTAAGAAAATTGATTTATCTCCTGGCTCCCTTTACATAATCTTTACATAATATATTATATTAATAATTTACTTTTATTACAAAATTCAATTCATTTTATATACTAATCAGTCAATTTCCAAGAAAACCATCATAGTGCAATTAATATATTAATATAACGATATTAGCATTTTTTGTTTTTTCGTACCGTGTCTGCTGACAGTACAAGCTAGATGAACCGCCATTTTCAATCCCATTCCTTATCCGCACGGGCAGTACATATTATAAACTTTACATTTAGTAAAACGCTTCGTAATGGTATAATTTAATATAGTATTTTTATTAGCCTTTTACGGACGAATAGAATTACAGTGGAACCTAGTACGCAAACCTAAAAAGAAAAATTAATTGAAATAAAATATTATTTTCCTTGAGGTATTATTAACAGTCACAATATTAAAACGATTGAAATATCCACGGTACAGAGGAAGGGTAGTTAATAATTTTAAACATATTTCACTCAGTAACTCGAAATTCAAAACGCAGACAGTATGAGTGATTAAAGTGATGACGTCACTTTGTTTTCTCCTAACAGGAAGCAATAAAATTTCAATTCTTTTAGCTATTCTCAGTTATTTTAGATATACTTTTATTTTCCATTATCTTATGAGCTGTCTTGTGTTATGTATAGTCTTTTGCATTTCTATTCAAACTTTATAAGTAACACACCTTCTTATGTTTATCTATATAAAGAAGTTTAGTATCAGTTAGTAGTACTTGTTTAGTTGGCACAAAGGCATAGTTACAACATGAGCACCAAACTTATAGAAATTTAAAATTCTACATAAAACGTTTGCTTTATCAACGCAGTAAAAGTAGAAAGAAGAGAAAAGAAGTGGCAGATCAATAAGGATAACCAAAAAGTACTGACTTGAATAGTTTAGAATGAAGCAGCAACGCATTTTGCAAAAGACAGATAATTTAAGTGTCCTGTATTAAAATAATGCTACATGACAAGGACCTAGCAATGTAGTGACAAAAAAAATAAAAGTAAGTGTGACTATGCCGAAAGGCGGAAGTATGTTCAAAATCCCAGGGACTGGAAATGGTTGGGAAATTTTAAAAGACATGAACATGTGTTTAAAAAATTGTAACGAAAGCGCAAGCGTAAATATCGAGGCATCTGACAAATGGAATGACTTGCAAGATTTGTTGAAGAGTTATAAACAGAAAGACGTTTCAATGCTGACAACACTGGCCTTTTTCAAATAAGCTACTGCGTGCTCGTTCTTAAAAATGTAAAGTGTCATGGAGGAAAGTACAGCAAAAAACGTTAACCATATTGCTAGAAACAAGTATGGCAGTGAAAAACTTCAGCCTTTGGTTTTTATAAGCCATGTAGTTTTTCTGGCTGTAAATCTCTGTATTTAAACTGTGGTAATGTTAAGAAAAAATAAATTATTCCCATCCATTTATTATAGGCCAAGACAAGTCGATGTTGAACATAAGCTTCCCCAAAGTATGCTTGAAGCACAAAATCCATATATTACCCCATGAAAAAGCTGTATGTTTAACAACAAATATAATTCTTTATTTCAACTCCTAACAGCAAACTGATGGAAATGAGCCTTTCTAAATTTGGTCGTATTTGTTATAATCGTCACGGTTGGCATGCGTGACCGCCATTTAATCGGAAATTTTTAGCATTTTTCACTGTCGCCTCTTACAATACCCATGGATCCATAAGATGAGGTTCATGGATCCTATCACGCGTCCACCATACCAAATAATTATAAACAGAAATGGTTATTTTGTGTCATTTCAGATGTAATACATAGGTACTTTCCTACAACAAGTAATAATGAATTCTAGAAGGTCCACAACATACACATGATAACATTGTGATAGATTGATGTCAATCTGATATCTATACATATCGCATTTACCATAAAAATGATAGCCTTGCTTTTCTCACTTTAACAACAGTAACTCATTAAGTTTATATTGTGTAAAATAATTTCATGTCATATTTCATACCTATAATATTTACAACGACAAAAGTCAACAATTGACTACTATTATATTTTTTGTAAGTTACTTACAATAGGTACTCCAAAGTTTTTGAAACTTTGCTCAATAATGCTTTACAAGAATTTAAAAAGATTATTTGTACGAACAATCGCTGGTATGTGATAAGTTTGGTAATAGTATTTTTATTATAACGATAATTGCACTATTGGTGGGGTCACAAGTCAAACACTCTGTCCAACTTTGTCCATACACGCACTATCATCCATCGCGGACCGATGGAATCTGTAAAATAAAAAAAAAATCAATTCAAAATGTATCCGCATAAAAATAATATATGCACTTAGCGGAATATTTATTTTATGGCTTTTCAACTTATTTATACAAAGGGCAAAGTAAACACAGGACATTGTTAATATTTTTGTATATAATATTTAAATGCTATTGAGACATGAGCAAATATTTTAAATTTCGTTCCAAGCTAATCTTCGGAATGGGTGATCCGATTTCAGTAAAATTTCACGAACAAATACAAGAGTAATACCCTGGTATCTGAGATCACTCCTGAGTGATCTAGACTAAATTTTACCAAAAAATTTAGAGACTTTATTAAAATAGAAATATTGATAAGATAAAATAAATGATATTTAATGATTATCTTAAGTCTAAATAACTCCACATTAATAGATCTCACCCAGGTGAAGCCAGACCGGGTCGCTAGTTATAAATGTTATTTAAAACTACGTATTCGCGTATACAATTATTTTCAAATATTTTCCCATTCATGGAAATTTATCAATGAACCGAATAATATAACGTTATAACAATATGTAGCTATTAGCGGGTTTTTGCTATTGGTACTGCGCATGTTGACGGCACGAGCTCGATGAGTCGCCCTTTCTAATTCCATTCTTTATCCGTATGGACCGTACAGCCTATTAAAAGTCGACTACTGAACATGGGACTCAACTATACCTGGGGATCTCTGTTTCATAGGGGGATCATTTGCCATAAATTTAAGAGTAACCAGAAGGTGGAATTTATGAGTAACAACTCAACGCTCTAAAACAGCATAAAAAAATTAAAAAATATAATAATATAAAATATAAAATTAATATAAAATGAGTGTGAGCGCATGCGTATACGTACAGAACGTGCGGCTGCATCAAGCCTATGCATGTGTGCATGTGTATGAAGCTGTACCTGCGGGCGCTTTTTCTATAGCGGCGGCCCGTGTGTGTGAGAGAGTGCACGCGTGTACGTACAGATCATGCTGCTGCATCAAGCCTATGCGTGCGTGTGTGCGTAGCGGATGGGCTGCACTTATGGCGCAAGCCGTGTGCGTGTAAGAGGGCACGCGTGTACGTGTACGAGCGTGCGTGTGTGCGTGTGTGCGTACCTGCGGGCGCTAGGGCGGCGGCGCGAGCGGCACGAGCAGGGGCTCGCGGGGGCGGCGCGGGCGGCGGGAGGGCGCGCGGGGCGCGGCGGCGCGCAGGCGCGGCCGGCCCGGCCCGCGCCGCCCGCGCGCCTCCACCGCGCTGCGCTTCTCCAGCGCCTCCAGCGGCGCGTCCGACTGCAGTAGCGCTGCGCCTGGATTGTGTTGTGAAGTATAAAAATAAACATATAAATCAAAATTGTTGTCTGCGCCCCCTTTTCCCTAAAAGGGTTCGCTTCTGATTAGGAAAAAAGGTCATACAGACCAATACAAGTCCGACAGATGGTGTTTAGTGGGTAGGCACTTCTTCAAAGTGAGTCCCACATAACCACGCAGCCGGCTGCCGTGGTATGCTATGAGCATTCACCACCTCCCTCCCCCGCTTCCAAAGGGTGCCTTGCATTGGGCGCAAAAAAATTGTTAGTGGTTTTGTGTAGTAACACTAATTGTTGGCTTTTTTATTACATCAATTAAAATATTTTCTTTCAACTATTTTTTAGTACTAGTCATCATCATCGTCGTCATCATTACAACCCATCACAAATTCACTGCTGAACATAGGTCTCCCCAAGGAATGCCACAAAGCACTGTCCTGAGCCACCTGTATCCATCGACTTTCCGCATGTCTTACCAGTTCGTCACTCGTATCATCTAGTAGGGATCACCTTATACTTCGCCTACCGGTACAAGGCTGCCACTCGAAAAACCTTTAATATCCTCTTTATATCGACCGCCGGTCAAACTAAAGAGTCCCCATTTCATGTACCTTAGATATAGGGAATTGACTGAAAAAAACATGAAGCTTATTAAAAGCGTAAATCTGCCGCTCACTGACTCTTAAACTATTTTGGAAACTCAACCTCAAGCACGATTTGTTATTAACAATGTGCTAACGTTTTTAACGGAAGTTAGAGAAGATCCTGAAATAATCTGATTAATTTACTTTTTATTTTGCATTCTTTACTTTTTCATAATATACACATCGACACAACCCGTAAGTACGACAGAGAGTGCAAAAGGTTAACTAAAATTAGTATAGTTTTCTATCAGTGTTAACGATTGTAGAAAGTCGAGTTAGCTGTCAATTCCGTTGGTTATGGAGTAATGAAAGATGTACGGTGCGTACCGGCGGCGAGCGCGGACACGGTGTCGGCGGGTGAGGCGGGCGCGGGGTGCGCGGGGTGCGCGGCGGGCGAGGCGGGGCGCGAGGAGGCGGGCGAGGGGGCGGCGGGCGGGCGGCGCGCGAGCGCGTGGCGCGAGCCGCGCGGCCGGCCGCGCCGCGAGCCGCGCGCGCTGCGCGTGCCGCTCCACCCCGTCCGCACGTTCGTGTACGCTGCGAACAAACAATCTTGCTGAAAAACCAATCAGCGGTAATATCTACCACTCACCAGATATCGCCAGGTGGAACTGAGGTGAAGTTATTCGTTATACAATGTCATTTAATTGAGAAGTTAGTTTTAAACAAAAGTTTTCAGTATCTAGAGTATAAACAATGCCTCAGATAATCCTATAATATTCTAGTGCAACTTGTCTATCTCTTCTTTCAGCTCCAGGATCTTCTCGTCAGTCCTCAGTGAGCGTGCGTTATATGTTGCCAGGTCGAGTCGTCTCAGGTGGCAACCAAACCTCCACCGGAGATTCTTTGCACCTCCTGCCCCGCCGTTACCATAGTCGCCACTGTAGCCAGGAATAGCGGGGCCGCATCTTCGTAACTTTAATCACCATGTAGTGGCAGGTAAGAATACCCAATACCCCATATCTTCCCATGGGTGTCGTAAGAGGCAACAGAGGGAAACTGAGGCAGAAGATGGACAGCAACATCTTTCTGATAACAGCAAAACAACAGTTAAAAAACTGCGTTTGCCAACCCCCCTTCCAAGCGTGGCAACTATGCAATATGCCCCCCCCCCCCCCCCCACGATTATTTTGCAATAACCGGCCAAATTTGCAGAGAAGGTTCAGAATAAGTAATATAGGCAAATGGTGAAAATTTATTTAAAAAAATCTCAATAATGCTGTACTTTTTATCTTTTAAATTCAAAATGTGTGGTAATGCGTTATTTCAACACATTTTACTGCGCACGCACACATTCGCAGGGGCCGATCGGTACGCAAAAACGTTGTTGCCCATAAATCTCATTCAAATTGATTCAATTACATAAACTGGTTTTCTATTTCATATTAATAGTACGCGTAGTTTGTTAATAAAATTATTTTCAAGTTTTATTGATATTAAAAATTTAAAAGCGGTTTCATATTTTTTAGCCCTTGAAAGACAAGGGACAAATACCATACAGCCTATACCGATTTTATATTTTGTGTGATCGGTTTATTTTGGTGAACATTATTTTTTTTTTCATGTAGGTGACACTACCTGTTAAAATAATAGAGCGCTAAATTTGAAACACGTAAATAATATATTTTAAAAATCAGAAGTTCATTTTTTTTTCTTCAAAATGAAATGAAACGCTCATGAGGCGTGCTCTTTTGGATTTTCCAAACTAATTCCTTTTGTAAGATATAATGTAAAAACTTACGCAAAGGTGAGGGAAGTGGGGTCGTATCGACTGAAAGCGTGTCGTTGTCGTCGTCCACTTGTAGTGGACTACCCGGTTCGGACGACTCGCGGGAACGTTTCGCTTCTACTGGCGCTGCTTGCTGTAAATTTTAAGATAAATAACTCATGGGCCCGCAAGACCTGAGACCAGATCTAAAAAATTTAATTAAGTACCTACTTAAATGACAAAGTCAGTAAATTCGATAATGTCGACGCTATTTTGAATACCGCGTCTTTTCGTCAACGCAATCTGATTTTTAGTTTCTAAATAAAAATTCTTATTATCATTTCAAAATAGTTTTTTTTTAATGTTACAATGATATTTCACCAAAAAAATTTTTTTTAATATAGTATACCTTTACCTTTACATGCTGCACGTCATACGGATCGTGTCGCGATTTGTTGTTTTCTGTCGCACACTTGCTAACGCAAGTTTGTGTGCGAGTGGTACATAAGGTGTATAATAAAGTACTTATAATTCAAAAATGTATATTACAAACAAAGTATATAAAAACACAATCTAAACAATGGATGCAATGATATAATATAATACCAGTTTTTTTTTTATTAATACTTACTGGTGAAAGAATCCCTAATTTTCGTTTTCGCTCTCTTTCCTCCATAAGCTTTTTCTCTTCTGATTTTTGTCGATCTGTAACGAAATCAAATTTTTAGAGAAAAATACGTGAAGACCATGTAGTAAGAGAATCTAGGAAAATGAAACAAGAGAAGGCAGCAGAGTCTTCCTGATAACTACTCAAAATAATAAAGAGAGCGAGAAAGGGGAGGTGCTCTTCAAAGTCGGTTTTTTTAACTGATTGGCTAGTTCTTTTTTCACACATTATCGAAAAGAACATTACGTAACAGTGTTTCCTATAGTACTTTTTTACGATGATAGATTAGATATCTATTGGTACACTTACCATCAGTTGGTCTGTGTGCTTATTTATAATAGGTTATTTTTACTTGTATACATAATCTAGAGCGTGCAATGATAATACTTACACTTCAACTCAATTTCTTCGTCGTCTAGCAGCAATGATACCACTTCTTTTGGTTTCAACGTGTCTGGTTTAAAGTTACCACCGCTTATGACCATCCTTTGTATCTGCACAACAAATGGTTTTCACATATTACATACGATATTAGCAGTATTTGAAACATATATAATATATCTCAAGAAAGTATCTATGTTTATTTTTTTACCTACAAGTTAGTGTCAAAATTTCACTAATCTATGAGTTAATTAAGAATGCATCAAAATTATGATTTTTTTTGCTTTTGATCACCATATCTTAATTTTCTTTTATCAAATGTCATTTTTTAACCTTAACACACTTTTATGGTACACATGCAAGGGTAAAAGATACAAAAAAAAATTAAGGCCTTTATGCATTTATAGATTCTTTGAAAAATAATTGAATTCCCAATTCAATGTTTGTTGTTCAGTTTTATCTCAAACTAGCGACCCACCCTGGCTTCACCTGGGTAAGATTTATTAATGTGGCGTTATTTAGATTTTTAGATTTATGTTAGTTAAACACCATTTATTTCAACAATTTGTAGTTTTCCAAAAAATTCTTCAGACATTGCTATCTCTATATGTTCGTGAACTTTCATTACAATCGGTTAAGCCATTCCAAATATCAACCTGGATTTTTTTAAATGGTTATTCATGTCATAGTGGCGTGGCATATAAGGTAGTTATTTCGAAGTTACAGAGAGACACTTCAATTTTATTAATATGAAAAAAAATAGATTGTACACCAAATATTAGCTTTTCAGCTTTGAAACTTATTCTGTCTATAAGTTCTCTAGCTTTTTTTTTTTTTCATGACATACGGATAGACAGACAGATAGCAAAGTAAATTTAGAGGTCCGTTTTATACTTTGGGTAGGGACCCTTAAACGCCTAACTGAAAGCCTTAATTGAAAAGTGAAGGAGCCCAAATTAACTATAATATTTAACACCTTGGTCCCCTTGGTTCTGTAACTTGAGGGGATTTTTTATTTATTTTTCAATAGCGTTCTTCTTTTTCAAAAAGCGTTTATTTTATATTTTAAATTTCGAAATATCTGTATTATAATGTGTAAATTTAAAACTTTTGTAAATTACGTTTGAATTCCGAACACCGGACAAGTACTCGAAATTCAAACATTTATTAATTATATGTATTTGTTGTAAATACAAGAGATAATGGTGTGTAAGAGGACTCGCCTCGCTCTTCTCCTTGGCGCGCTGCACGATGCGCTCCTCGATGGTGCCCCGGCAGATGAGGCGATACACCGTCACCTGCTTGGTCTGCCCCAGCCGGTGCGCGCGGTCCATGGCCTGCTGGTCCACCGTCGGGTTCCAGTCCGAGTCGTAGAATATCACCTGTAACCGTCGCATGCCAACAACTGCTGCAGAAACAACTTCATCCCCTAACGGACTCCGGCGACACCGGGGTTAGCCATTCGACGATCGTAAGAGATAGAGACCACTTATAAAAATAAGTGTGAATGTCATATCTTCTAACCGTCAAGTCCTTAGCACTGATTTCATTCATTCTTATAGATTTCTATAGCATGATCGATCCTATAATGTCATTTTGGCTAACCCCGCTGATCAAGAAGCCTAATGCTGTTGATATCAAGCAAAGGAAACACCAGATGCGGCTTACACGGTGCGTTACAGTACGCCTTGCCTGAAGAAGTAAAGAGGGGGAAAAGTTATACACTGCCGAAGAAGTGCCGCTGAATAGCGGGCTGGCGCTGGTGGGGCCGCAAATATGTGCGTTCCTGTAGCCACCTGTCTTAGTCGTATCCAATAGAATTGCGACTCTGTAGTAATATGGACATTTTCTAGTGACAAAGCAATCAATCTTAGTCCTCAACGGTGACAACATAGGGTTTCATTTTGATGTTCAATCTAGGTTTGATGGTAAGTGTTGTTTGTCACTCTTACTTGTGTAAAAATAGGTTTATTAATCGTAAGAAAAGCTCTATATATTTTTGATCGACATGAATTATTCAAAAAATATCTATATAATATATATATTTAAAAAAGTTGTTTAGATTTTACTATTACATGCATCAAAAAACTCACAGTATCAGCGGCAGTGAGGTTAATGCCAAGTCCACCAGCACGCGTGGAAAGCAGAAAAACAAAGATATCAGTGCGAGCCTGTAAACAAAATAAAACCTGTTATTACTACAGATTTCATCGTCCCCATTAACATAATCTGCGGCAGACCACACAAGGAACAGAATATATGTTAAAATATTTTAATTTGTATATCTTTATTGTGTCTTATTGTTGTTACTCCGTGAGGGAATTCCTCCCTACAACAGAGAAGGCACATATTTAACAGTGGTATTTCATAGGCTGATAAAGAAGAAGTTACACTTTACAATGTGTATATTATGAGTATTAATAGTGTACCTGAAAATCAGCGACCATGTCGCGTCGAGCAGATATCTTGCTGGATCCGTCTAACCGCATGTATTTATGCTTTCGATGCCACATGTATTCCTAGAAAAATTGTCAAAAGGTTGGCAAACATTTTTAAATGGTTTAAATTACTTAATTATTTATTATTCAGTGTTACGGTGGTGGCTGCTATTGATAATTTTTCTTTTGTTCTACACTACTATTATAATGAGGAAAGATTTGTTTGTTTGTTTGTTTGGATTGAATAGGCTCCGAAACTACTGGACCGATTTGAAAAATTCTTTCACCGTTAGAATCTTACATTATCCCTGATGAACATAGGCTATATAATATTTTCAAAAAGTTAGGGATCCGTATGAAAACTTCGTTAATGTAACCCAAGGTGTGAAAAAAATACCAAAAAGAATCCTTATTTCGCGTACGCTGCGGAAACTATTGATAATAGAGCAAAGTAATGTATTTCAGTTTTATAGAAGATATCAATATCTACAAAAAAGTCTGCGATACCATATGTTTAACTATTACAGTTATGTCACAATAACTACTTTTTCATGTTAAAATGTGAAATAGTAACGCCGGTACAAAATAGTCCACATTATTTGTATCAGTACCTGTATGATGCATAACCAACTATTATGTTAACCATGTAATTTTAGTAACATATTTCACTTTTTAAAACTTTGTTAATTCAGCAACCGTTCGTCGTGATGTCTCTCTCGAAGTTCGCATGTCGCAAGGCGCAGACGCGTGATATACGCGGGTGAAACCGCGGGGCACAGCTAGTATAGAATAAGGGTGACAAACGAGCAAACAGTCCAGTTGATAGTAAGTGGATGCGATGGCTTATAGAGGTCTACATTTATCCTCGATTAAGAATCAAAATGCAGATGTATTGTCACCCCTGAACACTACGATGGAATGCCTCGTTTCCTGTAAATGGATCTTCGGTTCCCTACACTCACCATACGAAACAGCCTTAAGCTGCTATTTCACGCTGGTATTCTATGAGAGCGTGGCCCTACTCCGGTCGTGCCGACCCATTCGTGGTACAACTAATATAGCTGCAGCGTGACCCTACCATGTGAATCATAATTACTATAACTTAAATTTAAAAATTATAAACCCCCGAAACAAAAATAGCTGATGAAACAATTATTGACAAACGGGTTTACAGTCCACAAGTTAACTGCCTCCACTATACAAGAAATTCTAGTGTGTAACTTTAAAAAAAAACAAATAGTAGTTATATAAGCGTATCCTGAATCCAATATGCATGGTTAAACATTTTATACAAACTACTATATTTATAAATACATAGATCAACAATACATCTTTTATAAATAACATACCTCCAATAGATCAATCATTTTCGTCATTTGACTGTAAATCAACACTCTGTGACCCCGTTCCTTCAGTCTTTTCAATAAAGAGTCCAAGACAGTCAATTTGCCCGCGTCGCTAACTAGTTGATTTTTATCTGGGAATAAAATTAGAAAAAGTAAAAATAAAGGCTTTGTTTAATTGAATAGAAGCCTTATTCTCTCAGAATGAAGTTGATCCAGTTCTCATGTTTAGAGCTTTCAATGTTTGTACACCCACTCACGCACACCAACTCATACTGCTGAACTACGTATCAAAAATTTGGACAATCCAACCAAGTCAAGCCCATCTGGCAATCCTAAGGCCCTGCATACATTAAAATACTAGCAAGATATATTTTGGTCGGATACCAGTAAAATACTTGTTCGTTACTAGAGGTTTGTACATTGTGCTATTCAAGTAGCACTGTGTTACTGCATGAGTGCTACAAGATGACAGTTTTTTTTTTTTCATATTACGGAATGTCAAAAGAATATTTATGGGCATCTTGATAAATTGTTTTAATAAATAACAGGGGTCACCCTGTTATTCGTTAAAAATACAACATTTACACATTTACAACAATTTTTTAACTTCCTGTATTAAATTGTTTCTTTTATCCGTTTCCTACTTTAATATCCGCAAAATTGCTATCTACATGAGGCGTTTTTCCAACCCGTAAGTTACCCACTTACACCAAGCGCCCTTTTTCAGTTTCCCACCTACTCCAGACGCCCCTCTCTCCTGCACGACTCCCGCCTACACCAGGCGCGCTTCCGACTTGCAAAATTCCCATCTACAGCATGCGCTTTATCTTGTGTAGTTCGTGAACGATGAACGAATAGTACGAATAGTAGTTTGTTTTACTCTTTTCGTACACCTATCTACACTCGCAAGACGCCAGTCTAGACAGTGCATGCTACGTGCGAACTTAAGCGTACGAATGTGAGTCAGCGAGAGAGTCAGTGTGTATGTCACTTTGGACAAGAGCTGACGAATGCCTATAATACTACCTTGATCAAATCCGTTAGAATAAGGTTGATAAATATTTTATTATATTATTATGTTTATATTATTGACTGGAACGACAGTCCTTAGCCCGTTCAATTATAAGAGGGAATCAAATATAAAAAAATAAAGGTACAAATTAATAATTACTATCAAGCAACATTAAGACGAGCAGATATCAACCAACTGAATTTGACTAAGATAACTATTCTGTACAGATAGATTTAGTTTAAACTGGTTAGTGGTATTAATGATCCAATAAAGGTAATAGAAATAAAAGAATGAACTAGTTTACTGGCAGAAATTAACTTGTACGAGGGCGGCACTGAAAATTTCGGGAATCAAGGAAGTGACACAACATTACTATTTAAAAATGTATTTATTGCTTTTCGAAGTATTGTCCGCGAAATTTGACACATTTTTCCATACCATGGAACAAATCATTGAAGCCACCATTCCATTCGGAAGTTGGGGTCTCCAAAATGGCCGTTTTGTAGGCGTCCACAGCTTCTTCAGGTGATGAAAATCTCTGTACACGCAATTTATTCTTTATTTTAGGGAAAGTATAGAAATCATTAGGGCTTAGGTCGAGGCTGTACGGCGGATGGTCTAATAATTCTATGTTTTCTTGCTCTAAAAACTCTTTTGTTCTGTGTGCGGTGTGAGAACTCGCATTGTCGTAATGGAGGATGATTCGGCAGTTGCAGTTCTCTTTACGGAGTTCAGAAACGACCTGTGTCAAACAAATGCTAGCATACCATTCTGCATTAACCGTTCTGTGTCCCTCAAGAGGAATAGTCGTAACATGGCCGGTTTTGGAGACAAACGTGGCCACCATTTTTTTTGCAACACTCCGTGAACGAACAATTTTTGTTGGCTTTAACTCATTTTCGAACACCCAAACTCGTGACTGGTTTTTTTGCTCTTTACAGAGCGAATGCGGTATCCATCGGGAAAACAACTTTTTTACACCTAATTGTTCATGCAAGATTATTATTTGTATTTGACTCATGCCAATGTCTAAAGTTGCCTGAATTTCGCGGTATGTCACATGTCGATCTTCCTCAATCAGCTTACGCACAGCATCAACGTTTTCTTGAGTGACTGCAGTTTTTGAACGACCTTGACGGGGATTATCACTGAGCTTGACACGTCCACGTTGAAATTCAGCAAACCAGCGATAAATTGTGGTTTTGGATTGGGCTTCATCACCAAATGCAGAAATCATCCGGTCAACACACTGTTTTTGTGTTAAACCACTTCGAAAGTCATAATAAATCATCACTCTTGAATTTTCTCGAGTCAATTCCATTTTCTCAACGACTAAACCTGTTTGACAAAACCTTGTGACAAGACCGAGAATCTTTTTTTAAATAAATAAATGGTATTCGATTTTTAAAACCAAGGACTTTTCAATTAAAAAGATTTTAATATGACAGGAACAGTGGAAAGATTCAATTTCCGATACTTTTAGTGCAGCCTATGTACAGAGCAATGTTTAAAATGATCACGCAGACATGAGCCTAAATAAACTAATATAGTGGTTTATTGTGGTTATATACTTATACTTCCAAAAATGAAATAAGTATCGAAATACTGTGTTTGGTATAAATAACTTATCTTTCTCGTTTTAACATAGAATAGAATAATTTTTATTCAATATTGATTACAAGTAATTGTTATTGTTACGCGCTACGATTAATACATAGTACTTGACGACACTAGTTACCACTAGCGCCCTCTATCGAGTAGCAGAACTAGGAAAGTCAATAACATTCTAGAAATTTTCATGGAAGAACTTTCTAGAACTATCGACACCTAGTCAATCGGGACCGATATATACTTGAACATTCTAGAAGTTTCTATAGTATAGGGTTCTGGAAACTACCCTAACTACCCTACCTTGAGGCCCTATATAAAGCCGGTATAGACCGCGACCGAGACAGTATTGAATTTTCAATATAAGCGAATACTTCGAAGCGATATCAACTGCGAACTAAAGTGATCAGTAGTACAATTGTGTTTTATTATTAGTGTGGTTTAAGCTGTAATTAGTGCTCTGTAATTAAAGTGTCAATTTTGGTAATTCACTCGGCAGTTTTTAATTGTCTCGAACCTCAAGCTCGCAACATTATTGAAAGTAATTTTTTTTTTTTTACTTTACCATTGATTCGGAATAAACTTCTGTCCTGGGAAGAACGAGCAAGAAACCCAGCGGGACTTTTTTTAAATATATTTTACAATATAAATGGTTATAAGCTATTTACAAAATGTATTTTAGAAAGAGTTTGGAAGCGAGCATGTCATTCCCAGGGGCCATACGCGTACACTATGGTGTTTGTGTTATGCAGTAGCAATGAGCAGCAAGGAGCAGCAAGGAGCGGCACTGACCGGGCACCTGCAGCTCGGCCCAGCCTCGGGGCGGGCGCGCGGCGGCCAGCAGGTGCGCGAGCGCGCGCGCGCCGCGGCGGTGGCGCGCCTCGCCGTGCGCGTGCGCGCGCGACGCCGCGAACGCCGCGCGCGTGTGCGCCATCACCTGCAACACAACACGCACCACTCTCTTAACACTTGTCCACCAGATTACAGTATTTACATTATAGTCAACATTACACTTTTATACGTGGTAGTCATGCTGCAGCTATATTATTAGTATGGTTATAGCACAAATGGGTCAGCTCGACCGAAGAATGACCACGCTCTCACAGAATAACAGCGTAAAATAGCAGCTTAACACTGCTGTGTTTCGTGAGTGTAGAGAACCGAAGACCCACCCCATTTACTGAAAACGAGGCATACCATCTTCATCCTCATGGGTGACAATGCATCTGCATTTTGATTTGTAATTGAGGATAGATGTAGATGTCTATGGGCCACAGCAACCACTTATTATCAGGTGGACTGTGTGCTCGTTTGTTACCCTTAACTTATTAAAAAAAACAGACTATAAAGGTAAAGTAGAGAAACATGGAAAATTCTTTTTTAATACAGTTGCTCAAAAAGTGGCTTATTGCTCGATCTTTTTCTTTACCTTTTCCGAACTCGTGCGTTCTCTTTCCCAACTGTCAAAATAATGTCTATTAAAAAGAAAAAACCAACCACGAAGTGTTTACTAAAAAAAAATTCATAGAAGTTTTTATGTTTCTTGCAAATATTTCTAAAAAGAAGCTACTAATTTGTTTCAATATCAGATTTAATGATTTGATTCAATGAGTTAGGTTAGGTTTTATTTCATCTCATCTCATTAAATTTCATTTCATATCAATAAAAAAATTCTACTGAAGGCTTGGCTGTATGGGCATAGTTCCCTTTGCCTACCCAGAATGAGTGAAGAAAACAAAAAAAAAATCTCTGCTTATATTCTTTTACGGTTGGCGCCATTTTCCAAAAATGTTCTTTATTAAATTGCTTAATTTTTTCGCAACTGTATTAAAAATAGTTGTTCAGTACACGTGCGGAACCGTCATTAAAACTCTTTGCAATGATAGGCTTTCCGCACTCGTAATGAAATATACTATATTACACTTGAAACAATTTGATAAAAAAACAGCTAACATAACCTGCATGTCTGAGAAATAAAAAAAATATAAGTCCACCTTTCCTTACCCTAGTACTACTCTCTCAGAAATGACAGCAGGCCTGTGCCTAGCAATATTACGTACAAAGGGCTGGTAACTTTACTAACTTTAATCATGGCATTGACTTCCTTCAGCCAAAAAGAATACATCAAAAACTGTCACAAACTATCCAATAAATATTTAACTTACTAAAATTCTACAAGGACGCAAAACGACATAGCACACTGTAAAAGTACACCACTGACAATAGCCCTCCTTCATAGAGCGGATTATGCCATAGTTGCCATGCTTAGCAAACAAGTTAGCTACCGCAGTTTATTATTATTGTGAGTTATGGAAAAGATGCGGCTACCCATCCCCTGATTTATTTCCCTCTATCGCCTCTTACAACACAATATGGAATATTGAATATTCTTACATCACCACTACACGGATGACATCATTTACCGAGAAAAAAAATTGTGTTTTTTCTCGGTAAATGATGTCACGGAATTGGTGATCGAAATAAAAGCCTTTGATTTTTTAAATACTTTTTAATATTAAAAAAAAATTAAAAATTTCTTTTAATTAACTCAAAGAGTGACAAAGCAAATTTATGTTGCGGAAGTGAACGGCAGGGTCGGGAAGGGACGCCCTAGACGAAGGTTTATCGACCAAATCGGCGATACATTAAAAATGGGCCAGATTAGGAGTACCCTTAACCGACGAGCGTGTATGCGTAGATATATGGATGTAAAAGAGGCGAGAGAGGTGTGTCAGGATCGCGCCAAATGGAAGTCCGTAGTCTCTGCCTACCCCTCTGGGTGACAGGCGTGAGTGTTTATGTTATGTATGTTTTTAATTAAAAGAGAGTTAAATAACGAAAGGAAGAGAAAATTACGTGCACCCTACTTAACGCGTGGCAAATATCAATAAGTTTTTTGTACATTTGTTTTAATTGCCAGCATCAATAAAACTATTAATTACAATTTTTTTTATAGAAGAGGGGGCAAACGAGCATGCGGCTCACCTGATGGTAAGTGACTACCGCCGCCCATGAACAACTGCAACACAGGGGGAATTGCATGCCGGCCTTTTAGAAAGGTCTAAGCTCTTTTCTTGAAGGACGTTAAGTCGTATCGGTCCGGAAAAATCACCGGTGGTAAACAATTCCACAGAAAAGTTGTACGAGGAAGAAAACTCCTAGTAAAACGCACAGACGTGGACCGCCAAGCATCCAGATGGTGAGGATGATATCGTGAAATTTGGCGGCTGGAATTAATCCGAACAATTCCTCAAAGCACTCCCCGTGGTAAATTCGATAGAAAATGCAAAGGGATGCAACATCCCTACGCAGTGCATGTGTATCGAGCCGATCAGAAAGAACTCGGTCGTCGACGATTCGAACCGCTCTGCGCTGGATGCGGTCAAGTGGAAGGAGCTGGCACTGGGGTGCCCCGGCCCAGAGATGAGAACAGTAATCCATGTGAGGCCGAACTTGCGCTTTGTAAAGTTGCAAGCGATGTGCCGGCATGAAATACTGTCTCGCTCTGCTGAGCACGCCGAACTTTTTAGAGGCCAATTTGGCCTTCCCTTCCAAGTGACCACGAAACTGCACACTATTCAATATGTCGACGCCTAGGATTCGGATGCTAGCTGAGGCAGCAAGGGAAGTGCCTTGAAACTGAGGAGATACGACAAAGGGGTTCTTTTTAGCGGTAAACGCGCAAACTTGTGTCTTCTGGGGATTGAACTGGACTAAATTTAGTCACCCCCAATCCGAGACTTTGTTCTGCAAAGACTCGGCTTCAGACACAAGTTTGTCCCAATACTCGGCGACGTTTTCCCGAGAAATTTTGGCACGGCCGGTATATAAGGCATCACTAGTGCTGCCGTCTGCATAGCAATGAATGTTACCAGTTTGCAACATATCATTGATATGCAGGAGAAAAGTGCAGTGGAATACCAGCGTTGATAGGCTTGAAATCAGAGCATGCACCGTCTACTACGACCTCGATGCTCCGATCAGCAAGAAAACTGGTGATCCATTTGCACAATTTCTCGGGAAGCCCATAGGAAAGAAGCTTCGAAAGAAGAGCTTTGTGCCAGACCCGATCGAAGCTCTTCACTATGTCCAAACTAACGGCCAATGTCTCCCCCTTGGATTCTACTGCCTCCGCCCATCTATGAGTCATGTAGACCAGAAGATGACCAGCTGATTGACCCCAACGAAAACCGTACTGGCGGTCACTAATCAGCCTGATGATCCTCAAGGTACCTCATGAGCTAACAGTTTATAATGAATTCCATTATTTTGGAGAACAAGAAGGTGATAGCGATAGGCCTGTAGTTGGAGGAGTCTGAGCGGTCGCCTATTTTTAGGGATCGGGTGGACCAAAGCTGTCTTCCATGAATTCGGGACTACGCCTTGGGAGTAGGAGTACCGGAAAAGACGCGTCAAAATCGGTGCCAACTCCAGAGCACACGTCTTCAGCACAATGGGAGGAACTCCATCAGGCCCACGCGACTTGCTGACCTCCAGGGAGAAGTGCTTTGCGAACAGAACGCTATGTAAACCGCACATCCAGCAGATCGGCTTTCTCCTTTGCGGCATGGGCCAGTGAGTCGTCCTCCCTGTGCAGAGATGGAAGAGATGGCTGGCAGAAGTTCCCTTGGACAGCCTTGGCGAGAGACCAGAATGCACGGGTTCCCGAAGGAAGGCGAACTAGCTTCTCGCCAATTCTGTCAATGTGCTCAGACCTTGCCTTGGCAATGACGCTTTAGAAGGACGTGGAGGCGAAACGTCCGCCTACCCACGCAGTAGTCTGTTGTTAATTTCACAGCAAATATCTGCGTACGTCAGGTGGTGATTGATCGCATGACGTAATCGCTCGCTACGTAATTGGAGCACGGTTGCGTCAGCAAGTAGTATAAATAGCAATAATTTCGGCTCGCCGCTCACTTAGCGGCGAGCCTCCGCAGAGTCTACTTCACCTGAGGATGCCTCGTGTAGAGGCGAAACACGTGTCGTATTTCCGAGAGTGGTGTGTCGTGCCTAGTGTAGTGGTGCTGGGGATGGTAGTGCTGGAATTGACAGCGACAGGTATAGTGCGCGCGATTGAGGGATGGTGTGCGGTCCCCTTAAAACTGGGCAGGACACATCATTTTCTTTCTTTACGCGGAATTAAGCAAATTAGTTTATAACAACCCCATTATAATGGATTTCCGCAAAGTAACGCCTGATTCTATTAATTAAACATAGGCATCTCCCTTACCAATTATAATTTAGCGGGATAATATCTATAAGGCAGTATCTGACCACGCGGAGCTCAATTATACATAATTTTAATTTATAAAAGTATAATTTATATAAAGAAAAAAATAATTCAAAAATCCATATTAACAAACCTTTTGCTGAGCTGTAACCAGAAAGGCAGGCAGAGGTGTAGGCATGTCTAAATATGTAACTGGTGGCCGTTCTATATGCGGCATCTCCGGAGCTTCCACAGGTTGTGGCTCCACAGCTATCACACCGCCTTCTTCTGTCTTTATTTCACTCAGCATTTCAGTCTACAAAGTATCGTCGCAAAAATGATATAATATGCACTTTCAACCGTGGTGACTATTTGTAAGTTCGACAAATAAGAAAAACTACAGAATATTAAAATGAACACTTTATCAGGTAAACCTCTCAGAAATGACAGGTCTGTGCCCAGCATAGTGGGAAGTATATAGGCTGTAACTTTAACTTTTTTAATCAGGTATTCATTGTGCAATTAAGTGTATACTAAAATTAGTGGATCATCATTTCATTTTGCAAATAAACGAGATGAAAAGTTACCATTACAGTCTACTGTTGCTGAAACATCCATTGCTGAACATAGGCCTCCCCCATAGATTGCCTTATAGTGGAGATATTTGCCATACTTGCTGCGCTTGGCAAGCGGGTTGGCAAATCAAAGTACAAACATACACACAGAGATTTTCTTTAAGAGTTGATTGGAATTTCCTAAGAACAACAACTTTTAAATTCAACTTCACTAATTATATTCAAAGTTCTAAATCAGCCAGAAAAACCATCAAGTACACAATAGATTCAAAACAAAAAAGTTCAATTGTTTCGTCGTTGTTTGTAATCGATTGTCCGGTGTGTTCTGCATGTTTAAATCTCGATTTCTACTATGTTAGCTTCATTATAACTAGCACTAATTACCTGTCCTTCTGCTTTCAAGTTTCGCGATCGCAAAGCTCGATGTTCGACAGTTTCGGGCATGTAGTGTATTGTGTGATCGGTGTGAGTATAAAATGGACCACCTGGCAAAATTATTAAATAATTAATATAGATAGACATACAAATTTAGTTTAATATATTTTTTTAGGCATACCATTCTGAAGGAAAGAAATTAAATAAAAAATAAATCACATAATATTTAAAATCTAACACCAACAAACCTGCAACCCAAAGGGGATCTGTGAATAAAATGTCTCTCCACAGCAAACTATCATGCTTCCTCTGTTTCAAGATATCGGCATCAGGACAAATCAGTAATAGATCTTTGCTGTTCACTGCATCATAATAATGTGATGGTATGTCTGTGTGTTCTTCTTCTTGTTCTTGTTTGACAGGACCCGCTATGTCATGCCGCCACCATTGCCTTCTATGCCTTAGTTTTTCGAATTTCTCTTGACTATATTCTAAATGTTGTATCCTAAAATATGTCTTTAATGCACTCATTCTGATAAGGCAAATATTTGAATTTAAATATATTCAGGCTTAGGTGAGCCAAATAAACTTTATTTAACTATCTATTTCACAAATCAACTTCAACTTGGATCTATTTGCAATTCAGTTTCAAATTTTGTTACTTATTAATATACGCTACAGTTATAGATTTTGTATATTATATGTATATCTTAGTATGTGTGTATGTACATATATTATTGCACCTGCTACAAAATCTGTTGACTCCATGGGTTAGCAATATATATATATAATAAGGTGTTAACAATAAAGGTTAAAAAGTAATGATTTCTTATATTTATGCGAAGACTACACATTAAATGAAAGTAATATTTACGGATTTTATCGCGTTTACTTTAACTTTTTAATTCCCGACGTTACGGGTGCTTTATAAAACACCCGTAGTCACGGGGGGGGGGGGTTACACTGAGGTGTTTGACGTCTCGATGTCATAGCCCGGCTACCTTAAGTTTTTGAATATTAATTTTTGGTCCAATCTACGCAGAATAAGCTTACAGTATCTTGAATTCTTGCAGTGGTATGCTTGGGTTTGGATTTAATTTTATTAATTATAGTATCCCAAACAGATGGCAGGACCCATCCATCTTCTCTATTGAAATTAGGATGTTTTTTTAATATCAATAGCCTCGCGAATCGTCCGTGGTAGGAATCGGTGTCCTTTTGCGAGAATTTGTGGTCTATCAAATCTAATGTAATGGCGGGACCGATCTAGATGTAATCCGGGAAGTCTGCAGTGTGTGAACATGTTCTAGATATATTCGTTCATGAACTTGACTGACTTTTAAGAAAAAAATGTAATATTTCTTTTCATTACCAATTAAATTTTTAGCTAAATTGGTTTTACCCTCGGAGATACCTCACATAAGTAAATTTTAATTGATTGCCTTTGCCCTGTTTAAGATTTAAAAAAATACAAAGTATTTATAAATTGAACACTTACGCACGCAACCAACCACACAACATTATTCGATAAAGTTCCATCGGCGATAAATCCATGAATCTTGTGAAACTGAAACACCTGTTGACACCATCATCAACACTCATACTCCTGTGCACATACTCCGGAGAGATTATGGACAGCTTGTTGTACAGCAAATGTCGCTTTGAAGGTATACAGTGGAGCAATATACCATCCTCTGCTATAATTTTTGGAATGTGGTAGTCATCGACTTGCATTGCAAATGGTGATTTAACATCTCGCCTTTCGAAAAGTTCTGGGTGGTTACATACCTAAAAGTAAATGTAATGATAACTAGAGGAAGAGAACAACTGAATGTGGCTGCGAAACAACAAAACGCGAAGCAGAGATATTGGGCTTTACAGTCAACTTATGAAGGTCATTCTCACTAAATCTGATTTTTTTTACCATGCTATGAGGAGAAAACTACAATATTAAAAGAAAAGAAAAAAGTCCGACAACACGCACTAGCACAGCGCGGCCGGCGCATCCATCTTGTGATATAACAGGCTCAGTTTCATTATACAGGGTTATTTTTCAGAGTAGCCAAATTTTAAACTTTAGTTCATATGTAATACAGTGCAAACTAGTACGGAGGGTAGAACATTGACTTTTTTGTAACAATATTATCATAACTCGCAATGTATTTTTGTTTACCTCATTTAAAGTTGGATTTGCATTAGCTCTACACTTAAATATGTAACGTTATAGTGATTTAAGTTTTTGCTTTATTATAAAGTGTTGTTTGTAACTTGTTGATAAATAAATAAATAAATGTATAAATAATGATATACCGCCGTTATTGCAGTTTTTGAAAATACGGGTAAATAAGTTTTTTTACTGTCATTTAAAATTATTCCAAATTGAATGTGATTTATGGGGGCAACATTTTACATATTCTGAACTTTCTCTGCAAAATTGGCCGCTTATAGCAAAGTATCCCTGTACAGAACAGTTACTAAAAGTTCATTATCCCTATAATGAACTTTTTTTTTACACTGCATATTAATTGAAATGAATTATAACATTGATATAAAATTACCTTTCTAAATTGCATTACTAAATTCATAAGGTTTGAAGTAAAATTCTTATCTACACTGTGACCAGACTCAGCTCCAACTGAATAATGGAGTAATTCCTCGATTTTTATCTTCTTTTTTAAAGCTAAAACATACAAATACGACAATATAAAAGACTGCTGAATGTAGCCATCTAGCTAATGGCTAGGATAGAAATTAAACCATTGTAACTATTGAAGTCATCAGGAATCTTTTAGAATAAAAACTCACCTATATACAAAAGTCTCTGTCGTATAGTAAGAGGGCAGTGAACCATAATCTCAATTTTATCAGATAACTCATTTTCCACATCTTTTTTGATACGTCGAAGCATGAATGGCTTCAAAATCATATGTAAGCGCGATAAATGCTCTGAAATTAAATAGAATCTTAGACATTATTTGCACGGCTTTTCACTTTTTGACAATATGTTGAATTTAAAAATAAATTATGTCTGTAATCATTATTAATTATATTCTTAAAGAACCGTGATAGCTTCAGGGGCTAAACACTGTCTATAAATTTTTATAGAACGCGAGCAAACCGAGATCGACTGCGATCACGCCGGCACCACTGAAATTGTTAATTTATCACGTGCCCGGCGGTAGAGGAAATATCATAAAGGAAACTTGCATTTGTGAGAAACTCAAACATAATTCGAGGACCTGTGAAGAGTTTCAACACAAATTAGGGGCAGCGTGGCTGACTCTTACTTCCGTGAAACCCACCAACGAATAAGAGGAGGCCTGTGCCTCGGCACTAGAATACCGTCGTCATTCATCACCATTATTACATCCAATAACAAGTTCATTTAGGCCACCCCATAAATTGTCATAAAATACAGACCTGATCCTAAACCACCTGCATTTATTGACTACCTGCATGTTTTGTGATTTGTTACTTTAAAATTATATAATTAAGGGTTGATTTGTCAATAATCAAATAAGTTATTCATGGGATAAAATACAACACAAACAAATTCGAAATTACAGTTGTATGAAAATAAAACAGTTCAAATGTTTTTACTTTTATATTCAGTTATGTTATAATTTATCAGACTTTTTTATTTGTATCGACTTGCTAGTGATGTCTTTCACGTATTCAAATACAGCGACGACTTCCGCATACTATATTATGAAACTATTAACTATGGAAGAGTTATTTTCCCAGAGCTGTGCACATAAACAACAGCGGCGGCACACTTCCTAACCTATTATCTAATTTAAAGCTTTTACGAACTGCATCCATGACTCAGTCTCAGAGCACAAGACAATCACTACACATCCATACCCAATAGTTTTCCTCTTAAGTTTTTCCATTTGGAATTCGAATCGTAGACTTGCGATGCGACTGCCAGTATAATACTCACTCTCATCGATAGTGCTCTTGTTCTCAGCATGGCTCTCAATATCCTTGGAGAACCACTCGTTGAACTCGTCGTGCGAGTCAAACAGCGTCGGCATTATAAAATGCAGCAACGCCCATAACTCAGCCATACTGTTTTGTATAGGTGTTCCTGTTAAAAGTAAACATTAATACTATTAATTTTAGTAAAAAAATACTTGACTAGCACTCGAATTTGAAAGATCAGTTATTAATAGAAATTATATAAATTATAAAACGCGACATTTTCTTTTTAGGGTTCCGTACCCAAAGGGTAACCAACGGGACCCTATTACTAAGCCTCCGCTGTCCGTACGTCCGTGTGTCAGCGGGCTGTATCTCATGATCAGTAATAGGTAGACAGTTGAAAAAGGGTCTCCGGTTCTCTACACTCACCATACGAAACAGTAGCATTAAGCTGCTATTTTACGCTGGTATTCTGTGAGAGCGTGGTTCCTTCCCCGGTCAAGCCGACCCATTCGTGCTACAACTATACTATTAATATAGCTGCAGCATGGCTCTACCATGTACAAAACGCTTCAGTGAACGCTCTTAAAATGCGCAAAATAAACCTATACTTTTCAGATTTCCTCTTGTTTATGCAAATTAGTGCCTAATAGAACAAAATATAACTTTTTATGTATATAATTACTCCAAATTGTGCTATGTGCAATTTCTTTTACACACTAAATACAAATAGTGAAAGGATTTAAAAAAAATGTGCTTACATGGTTTTTAAATTGTGAGCAAGCAAATACTTTAAATAATGCTAAAATATATAATTTTTCCTAGCCAGAATCATATTCAATTAAAAACATATAATATTTGAGCTTCTTATTATATTTACTTACCTGACAACAAAAGTCTATTTCTGCAACTGAACCCCAGCAATAACTTCCACCTCATACTAGCTGAGCTCTTTATCGCTTGTGCCTCATCCAATATCATATACTGCCAAGACACTCTATTGAGGTATTTGAGATCGGAGACGACAATCTGATATGAGGTTACTACAACGTGGAATGCCGCTTGACGTGTATGCAAGTCCTTACGCTCCCAGAACTGTCGCAAGATTTTTCGTTCGCTAGGACTTCCCCAGTATGGCACCTGAAAAAGTATGTTATTAATATGCCAAGTGTTTTAAATGGCAATGTGTGGTTGCGGCGTGAATGAATCCATCGATTTACGTAAATATTTTGGAAACTCTTGTTTATGCAAATCAGGGTGACAAACGAGCCACATGATAGTAAAAGAATGCTGTGGCCCTTAAAACACCTACATTTTTTCTCAATTAGGATGTAAAATACAGATGCATTATCACTCTTGAGAACTAAAAAGGAATGCCTCATTATCATTAAAATGGGCTTCGCAGGTTCTCATCTCCCACCTTACGAAACACAACAGCATTACGCAATTGTATCCTGAATATTGAGCGAGCCTGGTCTTTCCGGACATGCCGTCCCACCCATTCATAATACAGTAATAACACACTGGGACGTGGTTCCATCATGTATATTGTCTAATTTGATAGGTGGCACCAAAACCAATTAGAGTAAGTAATATAGTAATGTGTTACTTATTTTAATATTACAAACAAAATCGAAGTTATACTTATAGTCCACATAATTTTTTTTAAATTGTATTCTTAGTGTGTGAGGTGTGCACTTGCCACTTTGAAGTCGGGCACGAAGCGCTGCATCTCCTGCTGCCAGTTGTGCAGCGTGGAGGCGGGCGACACGACGAGGAAGGGCCCCCACACGCCCAGCCGCTCCGCCACGTGGCACAGGAACGCGATGCACTGCACGGTCTTGCCCAGCCCCATCTCGTCCGCTAGAATGCCGCTGATGCCCTGCCAACACAAACACAAAACATTCATTTTTAACTTAAATCATGATCAGACCAATTTTCTACGACGGCTAAGAATTTCAAATAATCTAACAATTACACAAAATATAGTATGCCATATGGAGTTTTACAGACTGACCGCAGTAGCATAACATTTAGTTGCGGTGCTGACGGCCGCGGATTCGAATCCGTGCGGGATTCGAATCCGCGGCCAAGAACAAGTATTTGTATGGTCTAAAATAATTGTTGTGGATGTTTGTAAATCATGTTTGTAAAGTGACTCTATGATATAGGGGAAAATTCTAGTGTAGGTAACGTTTGTAAATATGTGGTTTGTTTTAACAATAACACTAAAAAAAGGTTTTACGAAGTGTGAGAAAAAAGAAGTGAAATCTTCAGAGAACTGCAAGTAAAATTGTTTTGTAATAGCGCCATCTACTTCATTATACAGGTGTCAAACAAAAATTGATCGACCTTCAAGTTGCTACGTAAAAAATAGACGCTAAATGGTCTAAAGACGACTAATTTAATATAAATTGGTAAGTTATGAAATCGTGGATTGTTTTGAATGGATTAAATATGACAAATTTATTCAATGTGGTTAATTTCATTTGTTGAATTTGTTAATTTTTTTATCTGTTTATTTTAACAGTTAAAAGTTACCTTAGTTAGTTATAGAACTTCACAAAGAGCAGCTAAGATAATAGAAAACGTATCTATTTTATGTGCTTATCTCGCAGGCTAATTCCGATAAATGTATATGTTTGTCTCGTTTTCGTTTCATCGAGTTTCTAAAGAAGTTATCACTTCAAAAATTAAAAACTAGCCAAGTGCGAGTCGGCCTCGCGCATGAAGGGTTCTCTACCATTATTCACGTTTATAGTAGGGGAGTCCCCTTTAATTTACGTTTATTAATTGTTGTTATAACGGCAACAAAAATACACATTCTGTAAAAATTTCAACTGTCTACCTATTAAGGTAGACAGTTGAAATTTTTACAGAATGTGTATTTTTGTTATTCCGTAATCGGATCATGACATTCAGCCCACTGACAGACAGACAGACAAACAGACAAACGGACAGACGGACGGACGGACGGACAGCGAAGGTTTATTAATAGGGTCCCGTTGGTTACCCTTTGGGTATGGAACCCTAAAAATGGCATTACTTTGGCTGGTTACCTGATCATAGAGGTTGGCGAGCCAGTTCATGCCCTTGAGCTGGTAGCCCTTGAGCGTGCCGCGGAAAATGGAGGGCTGCGCGTGGTCGCCCGCCGGCCCGCCCGTCGCGCCGCTGCCGTCTCCGCCGCCCGCTCCCGCTTCCGCTCCAGCCTCCGCGCCCGCTTCCGCTTCTGCTCCCACGCCGAACTGCCGCGTGCGCGCGCGTTCCGCACGGAACGCCTCGCGTGCATTACGCGACGCGCGCGCCTTCATCGCCTCACTGTAGACAAGTTACAATTATTATAAAAACATTATTTTAAACCTGTAACACTGAAATGTCGTATGTTACTGACTTAAGAAAACCTATAAATATACAGGACCTATCTATCAAAAAACGTTCATTAAGAGCCCTCTTACATTTCGGCGTTTCGCAAATCTAGGTAGTTTACGCACCGAGCGGGCGGCGAGCTATGCTACCGATACTTTCTTTCATATCTATTCACTCGCTCACACTATAATACTGTAAGTATGGCGATTAAACGATCTTGATCTTCCATAATACAAGTTTTCTTAGGATGGAGTTCAGTGGGTGGAAATTTTTTTGGTGTGTCATTTTAATGTTATCTTATTAATTTATTATTATATAATTATATAATTTATTATTTATTATTATATACCATTTTGATATATTTTTCATTATTTATGAAATTTAGTGTCAAAATAAGTACACATAAATATTTTAATTGTTATGCAGTAATCGAATGTTAATAATCGATTATGTCTACTACCGGTAGATTAGTGGTCGAAATAAATAAATAGTACGATTGCAACCTGTTTTATTAAATAAAACAACCAAATGTAACTAATATTTTTTTAATCGATACTTACAATCAATTACCATATTTTTTATTACAAAAATATTTACTGCGACGGCATTGACCGAACTTTTCTCGAGTCGATATTTTCAGGCAGTACACACTTTTCATAAAAAGCTTGTGGCTTGGGTAACATATTGAAAATCTAAAATTGGTTGTCTTTGTAAATTTTTAGTACTTTTATTGCATAATCTGGGCCAGTACATATTATGGCACGTATTCAGACATTTTTATTTGCTAAATGAAGCTGGCCTTGGATTTGGTCACAAACCAGTCATGATTTTGATTTAATGTTACAGTTGAATCACTGAATTTATAATAACCTTTGACTTTTTTGGTCAAAAGGCCGTCAAAATTTATTCCGAAAGCTGAAATAGGACATTTAACTTCAATAAGACCGTCACTGTATAAACCATTAGGTGAAGCCCTCAAATAACAATGATCTAGGTGAATGAATGGACCACATTTTTCTATAATAATATTTTCTTGTTTGCTCTATTGTGCCAATGCTACAGACTCGTTGTCGCTACCATGTTTGATGGAAGGGACGTGATCTAAATTATAACTCTATAAAATAGTTTTAAACCGATCGATCGATCAAAAACTACGGTCGTAGTCGACGATGCTCTAGCACGCAGGCAATCGACGCACACTACGATAGTATCGAACGATATCTTCGAGAGTTGTTGCCTAAACATGCATCGGGAGAATGATTATTACTAAATAAATAAATAAGTTCTCTAAAATTCGCTCTGAGCTTATTGTAGTATAGAGAAAACGAACTATTTTTACCAAGTAATTGTTATTTCAAGCAACGAACAATAAACATACAAATTCAAATAGGAACCCTTGTAATTCCGCGCTTTTTTGTAATACGCCTCTTAAGCAATAATTGTTTAATAAGGGTGATTATACTACTTAAGAGTACGTGATTGATAATAACCCCTGGGAATGAAGGTGATCGCTACCATAGTGTTTCTAAATTTATTGAAAAAAATATTAGTTTGTAAATTAATGTTTAATAAAAGTCCTGCTAAATAAGTATTCATGTAATCTATATTGAATAAAAATTATTCTATTCTATTCCATCATAAGAGGCGATTATATGAAATGTCAAAAAAAATATGGCTTTCGAAGCATGGCTCATTTATGACAGACGTAAATTAGACAGAAAGATGGCAACAAGCAATGTTAAAAAAAACACTGACTTAGAAGTATATGGACTGGGCATACCTACAAAATTAGCGTGACTACCTAAACAAATCTGGCGCATAAAATGGCCGCCTTTTATAGGGTTGTAACTCAATTTTTTGTGTTATTTACACAGTCAAACAATAAGTTAAGTATGCAGGCAGCTAATTTGAAACTTGTTTTAAACAATGCTCTGGGTGTGCTAAGTGCTTACTCAAGTTTTGAAGTTATACTTATTTTGGCGCGTTTGAAAAAAATGATGAGAGTGAATTTTTTACAACTTCAGTTGGTAATTGTCTGTCAATTGTTAAGTTTTCGTGAGAACTGATAACTATATTCGAGGTAGTAATTCAAATATATATGAATGTATAAAACATGTTTATTTTAATTATTTTTGTTTTGTTATGCTAAAAAAGTACAACTTCTTACTTGTGTACATAGGTACATACGTTTTTTTTATATCAATGTGAACAAAGTTAAAAAGTTATAACGTACGCAATAAAAATGAATATTGACAGAGTAGTGGGAAAATGAATATTTTTGCTTGTATACCAAATACCTTTGATTACTGTACAATATTATTGTATGGAGATGGGATGGAGATCCTTCATCCCATATTACAGTTTTTTTAATATAAATAATAATGATTAGTTGAGTAAAAATTAAATAAACTGATAAAATCAATACTTATTTATTATTAATTCGTATATAGGAACGTTCTGCACATCATCATTATCATCATTACAGCCCTTCACAAGTCCACTGCTGAACATAGGCCTCCCCCAAAGAATGCCACAAAGCACGGTCCTGAGCCACCTGCATCCATCGACTTCCTGCATATCTTACCAGGTCGTCACTCCATCTAGTAGGGGGACGCCCTACACTTCGCCTGCCGGTACGAGGTTGCCACTCGAGAACCTTTCTTCCCCATCGGTTGTCGGTTCTTCGAGCTATATGGCCGGCCCATTGCCACTTCAGCTTACTAATCCGTTGGGCTATGTCGGTCACTCTAGTTCTACTGCGGATATCCTCATTTCTGAGTTTATCACGCAGAGAAACTCCGAGCATAGCCCTCTCCATAGCTCGCTGAGCGACCTTGAGCTTCCTCATCCGGCCAGCAGTGAAGGACCACGTCTCAGTTCCGTATGTCATCACTGGCAACACGCACTGGGTGTACAGTCTCGTTTTCAAGTTTTGAGGTATACCTGACGAGAAGATGTGCCGTAATTTCCCGAACGCTGCCCAACCGAGTTGAATCCGTCGATTGACCTCTCGGTCGAAGTTGGACTTACCTAGTCGGACTATTTGTCCCAGGTAAACATACTCGTCAACAACTTCGAGCTTAGTGTTCCCAACAACTACCGGCATAGGTGTGCCATATCTCCAGCGATTCTGCCATAAGCCTATATCGTCGGCAAATCGAAGGTGAGTGATGTACTCGCCATTGATGTTGATACCGTATTCTTTCCAGTCCAGAAGCTTGAAAACATCTTCCAATGCAGCGGTAAAGAGTTTCGGGGATATGACGTCACCCTGTCTTACACCTCTCTGCAATTGGATAGGTTTCGTACTCTGGTTCTGTACTCGGATAGCCATCGTAGCCCTACTGTACAAGCACTTCAACACTTCGATATACCGACAGTCAACTTGGCATCGCTGAAGGGACTGCAGCACCGCCCAAATTTCGACGGAATCAAAGGCTTTCTCATAGTCCACATACGCCAGACATAGTGGCAAATTGTACTCCTCGGACTTCTGTACAATTTGCCGAAGGGTATGTATGTGGTCTATGGTGCTAAAGCCTTTTCGGAAACCGGCTTGTTCGGGAGGCTGGAAGTCGTCAAGTCTGCGCGCGAGACGATTCGTAATGACTCTCGAAAACAGCACGTAGACGCGGCTCAGAAGGGTAATCGGTCTGTAGTTCTTCAAGAGAGCGTTGTCGCCTTTCTTGAAGAACAAGACCACCGCACTTCTGCTCCACGCCTCCGGTGTAATGCCACCATGGAGGACGGAATTAAAGAGCTTCTGAAGGACTTCAAGTACCGGTATTCCACACGCTTTCAGAAGCTCCGCTGTAATTCCATCCTCGCCTGGGGCCTTGCCGTTTTTAAGGTGCTGGAGAGCCATTCTAATCTCGCTCAGACTGACGTCCGGGATATCATCGGAATAATGTCGGATAAGACTCGCTCTTGGATCGTTACTCACACTTGCGTGCGGCTCCAACGATGACGTGTACAGCTGCCCATAGAACCTCTCAATCTCACTCAAAATCTCAGGTGCCCCGGAAACGATGCTGCCACATTCTGTCTTCAGCTTTGACAGTTGGCGCTTTCTGGCAGACAGATCTCTGGCAAAGACTTTGGAGCCTCGGTTCCGCTCGATCGCTTCTTCAATACGAGCTGTATTGAATTTGCGTAAGTCCCGCCGCATGCATTTGGAGATCTGTCTGTTCAGTTGCCTGTATGCTGTTAAATCTGTTGAAGAATGTAGCTTCATCTCCCGTCTAACAGCCATGAGATTAAGAGTGTGATCGGAGAGTTTTTGTGTTCTTCTGCGGCGGGTCTTGCAGAACTTAGCTCCGACCGCATGGACAGTTTCCACGAGCTTGTCATTCAAATCGTCCACTTCATTGCAGTCTTCTAGGCACTGAAAACGGTTTTGTAACTCGAGCTGAAAGGTTTCGGGACTTTGGATTAGAGCACGAGGGGGACGGAGCGTTGACTTCATTAGACGAGACCTCTCCAACTTAACGTTTAGGTTCAGTGTGCCTCTAACCATTCGGTGATCGCTACCGGTTTTCACCCTCGCGATCACTGAGACATCACTGAACAGTTGTCGTCTGGTCGTCATAATGAAGTCAATCTCATTTTTTGTCGAACCGTCGGGGCTCGACCAGGTCCACTTCCTGTGGGGCCGCTTCTGGAAGAAAGAGTTCATCATAAAGAGTCCCTCTTTCTCCATGAAGTCGGCCAGCTGCTGGCCCCTTGGGTTCCGTTGCCCTATTCCAAATTTCCCTACTTTCAGCTCACCGTTCTCTCTTGTGCCTAGTTTTGCATTGAAGTCTCCCATTAACACCGTATATTGGGTTTTGGAGGAATGCATGGCTCTAGAGATATCCTCATACATTTCCTCCACCTCCTGATCGGGGTGTGCCGAGGTTGGTGCGTAAACCTGTATGACCTTCAGCGAATACCGTTTGGTGATTCTGAGTATAAGGTACGCAACCCTCGTCGACACACTCTCAATCTTTACAACGTTGTTAACGAGAGACTTGTGGACGATAAATCCGACACCTCCTTGGGACAGATGGTCGCCCTCCCGGTAATAGAGCAAGTTGCCGGATTCGAGGATTACCGTGTCCTCCCCCTCTCTTCGGACTTCGGATAATCCTATAATATGCCAGCGTAACTTGTCTATCTCTTCTTCCAGCTCCACAATCTTCTCGTCAGTCCTCAGTGTGCGTGCGTTGTATGTTGCCAGGTCGAGTCGTCGTAGGTGGCAACCGAACCTCCACCGGAGATTCTTAGCACCCCCTGCCCCGCCGTTACCATGGTCGCCACCGTAGCCAGGAATAGCGGGGCCGCCGGGGACTGGGGGCCGTTTATTATTGTCATTGCTCATGGGGGGTATATTGCCATAGTTGCCACGCTTGGCGAGCGGGTTGGCAACCGCAGTTTTTTTATTGTTATTTTGGCTATTATCAGGAAGATGCTGCTGCCCATCTCCTGCCTGTTTCCCTTTGTCGCCTTTTACGACACCCACGGGAAGATATGGGGTAGTGGATATTCTTAACCGCCACTACACGGCACACTACACTGCACATAATTGATCACAAATGGTAAGTTATACAAGCATGTTCGGTCCTGCTGGATATCATATTGAATTTTTTTAGTCAGATTTTAAATGAAAAATATTATTATTTTTCGCAGGTACATTAATTTTGTTCATTTAAAATTCGAAAATTTGGCATCATCATGAAACGGTGGATGAAATATGATATCCAGGATTTATAAACTATTTTTATTATTATATATTCATTTGTGAATATAATTAATTTATCAAAATAATTTCTATACAACACCAAAGATAAGAGTGTACGACACTATGTCACTGCTTTTTGACAGTTTGACAGCGCGCAGTCACGCGTGTAAGAGCTAATGACGTTACACGAAAGTATTACCAAAATATGTACTTTACAAACTGTAGTTGTCTCTCTTTTCTATTGCAGCTGCTGCTTTGTTAAAAAGAGACAAAACTGTTTTTGACAAGTGTGTGTCGATATTATAGATATTTGTATAACTATCATTTCTATAGTGGAATACCCTTTCCAAAGGTATATATCTCTATGAAAAAGAGTGCACATCTGATACTAAAATTGTCTGTCAAGCATATTAGACTGACATTCAATAGTTTTTAATATGCTATCACAAACAAACAATAAAGTGTCTTATCACGAGATTCCCGCCTGCACGCAAAATACGCACTTAGACGTAGAGTTGCAGAAAATAGCCCGTCTTAAATTAAACTAAATGTATACTTTGAAACTAGGCTTAGCATACAGTACAAGATTTATTACACTTTCGACGTTGCTCCTCCTCAGCAGCCTGGATATTTTACGTCTTACACCACAACCACAAACATATTTGAAAAAAAAAACCATTTATAAACAATTAACAACCATGCTTCTAAAACCTTTTCATAAATGAAAGCCTGTGTCAAGCAATGGGACATAGATAATGTTAGTGTAGAGCAGCTCATTACAAATTTATACTATGAAACCTTAAACAAATTTTATTTTGATGTCCTTCGACAATGCTCCGCGTTATCAGTCTACATATTTTATATTTGACATAATAAATAAGATGGTTATATCATTACCTATCCAAAAAGGCCGAATGATCATCCTGGCAATACTTGATCCCACTCTTACGATAGACAACACACTACATAGAGCGGTTGTTTTCTTGCGTCGCGTCTCCACCACATGGTGAATTGATTAGTCATTTATTAACTTTAAAAAAAGTAATTTTTTCCCTTACCTATCATAATTATCGATTGCGGCAAGCCTGGGATCTCTATCTTCGTCGAGTTGTCTAAGTATGCGGTCCGTACTACTGTCACCCTCATCTCCCGCGTTCAATTTCCTTTGCATAAAATGCGCATACAATTCGGTCTGCGTGATGAGGAAATTCAGTTTGCGTCGCTGGCGTTTAGCTTCCATTAGTTCCACATCCATCTATGGCAAATACAAAATATTTATCAGGAAGGAAATTTGTGCAATCTTTCATTAATTTATCTATAACATCACCAGTGTTTTCTAAAATGAATCTGAAAAATATTACTAATATTATTTATATTTTCCTTTTTTAATTCATGATTGTTAATTCTAATAGTAAATGTAATTATTATTGTCAATAGCACTTAGTTTTTTTTTTTACTATAGGTGTCATTGTGATCAATAATAATGATTATTAATAATACTTTTATTAATAATTACAACTCCATTTTCATCAACTGTAATGACAACAGCCCATCAAAGTACACCGCTAAAAATAGGTATCCCAATAGATTGCCTTGTAGGGAGATATTTGCCATAGTCGTCACGCTTAGTGTTTTTTCCCTATTTAGAGTTGTTATCAGGAAGATGGCTGCTGCCCATCTCCTATTTCAGGTTAAGTGACAGGGTCACTTCTAGTAGTAGGTTCCCGCTACACGGCGAACTAAAATTAAAAATAAAATAAGATTCTGGATACCTTATATTCCTTCCCTTCAGCTATTAGTTCTAGGAGACATGATAATTCATAAACAAACAATACCTTTCTCTGTTCTTCTGCCTCCCTCTCCATACGGCGGCGGGTCTCCCTCTCGGCGCGATCGTACCGGCGCCAGTAGGCCTGCATCTCCCTACTGAGCCGTTTGCACCGCCACACTGTTTCTTTCATGTTCTTTTGGGACTGTAAGCAAATGTAAGGTAACTTATTCACAATGATTTCTTACATTTTTGGCTGATATTTTCAAATGTGACAAGCATTGGAGACACTTTTTACTGGTAACAAAGCATCTTATTTTAGTGCTCAGGGGTATCAACTTTATCTGTGTTTTGATTTTTAATAGAGTTTAGATGTAGGTGTAGTTCGACAACATTCACTCATCATCACGCTGACTGTATGCTTGTTTATTACAATTTTACAGGTATCATCATCATTACATGCTTTCATAAGTCCACTGCTGAACATAGGCCTCCCCCAAGGAATGCCACAAAGCACGGTCCTGAGCCACCTGCATCCATCGACTTCCTGCATGTCTTACCAGGTCGTCACTCCATCTCGTGGGGGGTCACCCTACACTTCGCATACCGGTACGACGCTGCCAACCTTTCTTCCCCATCGGTTGTCGGTTCTTCGAGCTATATGGCCGGCCAACTGCCACTTCAGCTTACTAATCCGTTAGGCTATGTCGGTTACTCTGGTTCTACTGCGGATATACTCATTTCTAAGTTTATCACGCAGAGAAACCCCGAGCATAGCCCTCTCCATAGCTCGCTGAGCGACCTTGAGCTTCCTCATACGGCCAGCAGTGAAGGACCACGTCTCAGATCCGTAAGTCATCACTGGCAACACGCACTGGTTGTACAATTTCGTTTTAAGGTTTTGAGGTATGTCAGCCGAGTAGAATCCGTCGATTGACCTCTCGGTCGAAGTTGGACTTACCTAGTCGGACCTACCTAGTCCCAGGTAAACATACTCGTCAACAACTTCGAGCTTAGTGCTCCCAACAACTACCGGTATAGGTGTGACATGGACATTAAACATGATCTTTGTTTTGTCCATGTTCATCCTAAGACCTCTTCGTTGGGAGACCCTATTGAGGTCATTGAGCATGGTGCTTAGGTCTCCATTGATATACTCGCCATTGATATTAATACCGTATCCTTTCCAGTCCAGAAGCTTGAAAACGTCTTCCAATGCAGCGGTGAAGAGTTTCGGGGATATAACATCACCCTGTCTTACACCTCTCAGCAATTGGATAGGTTTCGTACTCTGGTTCTGTGTACTCGGATGGCCATCGTAGCTCTACTGTAGAAACACTTCAGCACTTCGATATATCGACAGTCAACTTGGCACCGCTGAAGGGACTGCAGCACCGCCCAAATTTCGACAGAATCAAAGGCTTTCTCATAGTCCACATACGCCAGACATAGTGGCAAATTGTACTCCTCGGACTTCTATACAATTTGCCGAAGGGTATGTATGTGGTCTATGGTGCTAAAGCCCTTTCAGAAACCGGCTTGTTCGGGAGGCTGGAAGTCGTCAAGTCTGCGCGCGAGACAATTCGTAATGACTCTCGAAAACAGCACGTAGACGCGGATCAGAAGGGAAATCGGTCTGTAGTTCTTCAAGAGAGCGTTGTCACCTTTCTTGAAGAACAAGACCACCGCACTTCTGCTCCACGCCTCCGGTGTAACGCCACCATGGAGGACGGAATTAAAGAGCCTCTGAAGGACTTCAAGTACCGGTCTTCCACCCGCTTTCAGAAGCTCCGCTGTAATTCCGTCCTCGCCTGGGGCCTTGCCGTTTTTAAGGTGCTGGAGAGCCATTCTAATCTCGCTCAGATCCAAGATATCTTCGGAATAGTATCGGAATAGTATCGGAAAGACTCGCGCTTGGATCGTTATTCACACTTGCGTGTGGCTCCAACGATGACGTGTACAGCTGCCCATAGAACCTCTCAATCTCACTCAAAATCTCAGGTGCCCTGGAAACGATGCTGCCACATTCGGTCTTCAGCTTTGACAGTTGGCTCTTTCTGGCAGACAGATTTCTGGCAAAGACTTTGGAGCCTTGGTTCTGCTCGATCGCTTCTTCAATACAAGCTGTATAGAAGTTGCGTAAGTCCCGCCGCATGCATTTGTAGATCTGTCTGTTCAGTTGCCTGTATGCTGTCAAATCTGTTGAAGAATGTAGCTTCATCTCCCGTCTAACAGCCATGAGATTGAGAGTGTGATCGGAGAGTTTTTGTGTTCGTCTGCGGCGGGTCTTGCAGAAATTAGCTCCGACCGCATAGACACTTTCCACGCGCTTGTCATTCATATCGCCCACTTCATTGCCGTCTTCTAGGCACTGTAAACGGTTTTGTAACGCGAGCTGAAAGGTTTCGGGACTTTGGATTAGAGCACGAAAGGGACGGAGCGTTGACTTCATTAGACGAGACCTCTCCAACTTAACGTTTAGGTTCAGTGTGCCTCTAACCATTCGGTGATCGCTACCGGTTTTCACCCTCGCGATCACTGAGACATCACTGAACAGTTGTTGTCTGGTCGTCATAATGAAGTCAATCTCATTTTTTGTCGAACTGAAAGGTTTCGGGACTTTGGAACAGAGCACGAGGGGGACGGAGCGTTGACTTCATTAGACGAGACCTCTCCAACTTAATGTTTAAAGGTATATTATATTATATTTATCAACAATACCTTTCATACCATACACAGTACTTTTACGTATTATTAAACTTTCTAGGTGCCATTCCAATTGCTATTGCATTACTGTTACAGTTAATCAGTTTAGAAATATTATAGCACCAGACATTTCTATCAAAAGCTTGCTCTTCCAAATCCCTCAAACCATTTAAGGTACAAGACAAAAATATATTTTCATACACTTGGAAAAAATGGCTTTGTGCAGCAATGTTTCCAGGTACTCCTATTCATGCTACTGCTATGAGCCTCCTGGAGCCACCAACACGACCCACCTGCATGGCGACGTGCCGCCAGTGCTTGCAGCAGAGTGTGGCCAAGCGCTTGCTCTGCAGCACCATCTCGCGATGCGCTGCACTGCGGGCGCGTTGCACTTTGCCAAGTTCCTTCTTAACCAGGAGCTGCCAATGTCGGCGACGACGGGCAGTCAACGCTTCTGGACTCTTCAAAGATGATAATTTTTTTCGACCCCTGCAATAAATTACATTTATAATTTCGTTCTATTCATTTGTCAGATTTTACAAGTATTGTTTTGTACTTTGTGCTTGCAAAGTGATTACTAATTTCTTATTGTAATTAATATTTTTCTTTATTCCTATAATTTTTAATAAAGTGGCACATACAACATCTTGTATTCCACATAAAGAAGTATTTCAAGCCCCAGTTAATAAAAGTAAATAAGTGAGGTTACAACCTATATATTATGTCACACTGCTGGCCACAGACCTTTCCTGGATGGAAATAAAAAAGGAATGGAGGATAAGTCCCACACTTTTCTCCAGTGCTTGGTTGACTTCACATATTTCTCAAACATGATAAAGGTGCATATTTCTATCAAAAAATCAAATCAAGAACAACTATTTTAAGATTTTTTTTTTAACAAATACTTGTTCAGTGTGCGGGAAGCAAACCCTCAGCCCGCAATCTAATGCTTAGGCACTATGCTAACAACAAAAAAAGGTTTTAACATCAGTCTGCAATAGACTGTTCCAATAAATTTTCTTAAATATTTTAGAACCATAATTGATTCTGTGTCACTTCTATGACACAGATTGCCATGTAGAGCCAGTAAGAAAATTCACTACCCTATATCATCTCATGAGGGAAATAGACAGGAGATGGGCAGCAGCATCTTTCTGATACCTCAAAATAATGAAAGACTGATTGCCAACCTGCATGCCAAAGTTATGCTCAGCAGTTCCGTGCAGCAGCAGACATTATCATGTTCAGCAGTGAACTTAGGCTGCAAAAAATGAACAAATGAGGTTACCATAAATAATAAAAAGGAGAGAATGCAACCAATGTTTAGTATGTACTTATTTATTTATTTATCTATTTATTTACACCTTAATAAAAGAATTACAAAAGGAGGGAATTACAAAGACTTAATGCCTTTTGACATTCTCTACCAGTCAATCCAATTATATGTAAAATTTAAGTATCCCAAACAGAGTATGTTTTGTTATTTAATATTTATATATTTCTTTTTTGTAAATTTTGTATTTTGACATATTTTTTGTTAAAATATAATGTACTCATAGCAAGCACATTTTTATGTCATCGAAAATTGGATTGACACAGATTTTACATATAATTACAAAGTGATGAAAATTAAATATATTAGTATATGTGATGTACCTTACTCCTGGTTTTTCTACAATAGTAAACTCGTCTGTGTCATTTTCTTCTTTCAAATTACGCAGCTGTTCCTCCCAGTCCACACCATCAGGCTGAGGTTTGTCAAAAATATTATTATAATTTGATTTAACAAGTATATTAATACAACAATGATCCTTTAGAATTCTAAAAATACTCACCACATCACTGCCTTCATTTAAGCCACTTCTATTCTCCCTTACTCTACCTCTCCTAGCTTTTTGCAGGCCCCTGACTGAGCCCCTTTCTCCTGGACGGCCTCTGCGCCCCCTTGAGACTGGTTGTGGTGGTAAAGGACGACTGATTCGCCTTTCTGGATATCTATCAATAGTAGATAGAAGACCAGCGCCATAGTACATATAGCGAGAATTCTGTAAATAACTTTTGTGATATTGAAAACATTCTGTTAATCATACTAAACTGGTATCTTTCAATCTAAATTTATATCCATTGAATTTTATGTTACTAAAAATGAATAGTTGAATATCAATACACATTCTATGTGCATTGATGTTATGTAACTATTCAATGCACTGATTATCTTTTATAAAAAAAATATATTTTATATTATATTATGGTGTGTACTACAAGTAGTCAATTTAAAGCTATTAATAAGAATGGTCAGTCTGGACTACATTCTGTCAAGTTGTGAATTCATTTTTCTCTTGATGTAATTAAATAAGATGTCATAATGTTATGCCTATAATCCCTGAGGTAAAGACCAAAGAGCCTACTTGAATGACATTAAACCAATAAAATATAACTTTGTATGGAAAATTGTGAAAGCAGTGATAAGTTGCTAACATGCACAATTACAAAAAAATATAAGTAACACATTCGGCACATTTCACCCTACGTTATTTTTAATTACCACCCACAGTTGATATTGTAATGCTACAAGTGTACTATGTATGATAATGATGATGGCTCTGAGACACAGTGGCTTAGCAATGAGTTGCAGTGCTAAGGGCCATGGGTTCGAATCCCGCACTGGTTAAAAATAATTGTTCCCGGTCTGGATGTCTATCCTTGTGAAATATATGTATGAAAAATGCCCCCATGATACAGGACAAAATCCTAGTGTGGAAGTTACTTTAAAAAAAAACAAATAAGATAATCAGAGAAAAAAATAAAAATAATTTAACTCTCCAAGTTAATAAAGGCAAATAATAAAGTTGTTGATTATAATTGAGAATTTAAGTATAATATTAAATTTATTTTAATAGATTTTATTAACCCTTCAGCAAAGTGTAGGGTGGCCCCCTACTAGGTGGAGTAAAAACCTGGTAAGAGATGCAGGAAGTCAATGGATTAAGGTGATTCATGGTCATGCTTTGTATACCTTAGTGGAGGCCTATATTATGCAGTAGACTTGTGAAAGGTTGCAATTATGATGAACCCTTAACACATATTGCTTTGTTAAGGGTTCTATCATCATGATTATTGCAATTTTTTAGCATTATCTTTTTTGCTACTCAATTATCAACTCGTCGTTGACGCCGCAAAGTGGCGAACCTCAATTTTTAAAAAAAATTATAGGAGAGCAAGAAAACATTTATTATTCCCCGATTACCAGCTTTTTTTCGTCAGAAAATTAAACATATTATACTTAATGAAAAACTACAAATAAGATTAATTTTCTGATGAAAAAAAATGCTATTAAGAGGCTGGTCCTTAAGAAACGCGCAAATAGGCATTTACGGTTTTAAAAATATTAAAGAACTGACTTCATTGAATAACACCACAAAAAAATCTCAATTAGTTAATAGATAGTTCTACACTTTTACCGTGTGATATTTATAAAAAACATCTGGATTTTCGAGAAAAAAAATCATCAACAATGGTAAAAACACTTACGGCCTTTTCTATTTTAAATCTCTAGGCCATTTTGTTATTATTTTAGAAAATCTTTTTGGTTAAAACGTGAGATAGAAGTATCTATACTTTTATCTCACGTTTTAACCAAAAAGACTATAGACAAAACACATTCACCATTCATTATGTTTACTAATTCAAACCAAAAAGCAACAATCTAAGCCTAAATATCATTAATTTTTTGACAGAAATCGTCCATACATTTTAGTATGAAGCGGTTAGGTTTCCGTAATTCGCTTTATATTAGAGAACACGCGTGAAAAAAATTCATTGCCGCCTCAATTTTCGAGGTGAGTGCACGTCCGTTTGTAGCCGGATGTGACAAGTCGAGTCGATACATCTATTGTTTGACATAGCATAAGGGTGGGTCGCTAATGTCGGTCAACATTATTTTAATTATTTGTATTCTTCGAGTAAGTAGACTAACTAGGTATATGAATTTTATTATGTATTGTTTTTTATTATTATCAGAAATTAATGTACTTAAAATAGTAATTTACTTTAATATCTATTTCAGGTAGATAATATAAAAAAATGTATAATAATAAAAAAATCTAATTAATAATGTAAGCATATGAAGTGAACCACTCGGAAACTCGCTAAGCAAGCAGTCTTTTTTAGGACTTGACTCAACCACCGGTGCAGTGGCTATCCATGATCCTGGACCTTGAGTGAATTGTTGATCAGTGGGTTACCCTCTGTGGAGTCCACCCATTGTGATATCATTTCACACTTTCTGGAATAGTCCTGTCCTGATTGACTCGTCCGGTTCTTTGTTGAGGTTACCATCCGATTACGATGACCTTGAGGTTATTTTAGTAATATCTTGTGCCGAGGTTATTATTGCAGTAGTTAAATTTAGATTGATAACTAATATTTATAATATAGAAGTTATCTAGTCAGTTAGGCTGTCTTCTAATGTTATGGCTTTCATTAGTGCTGACAAAATGCAAAACATAACAATAACTCTGTGGTTCCCTTTAAGTGAGTTATCAAAATCAGTATTCAAACATATATATAATTTTACTTCAGAAAAATCAACATAAAAATAATCAAATTAAATTTAAATAAAATAATACTTGTAAATTGTATGTGGATTGATTACATCTTATAAAACACAAAAACCTTAATTAACGTAGGTTTTTTTATCGGTCGTTGATAAACAGCTTTTATTTTTAAATCTGTTAATGACAATTGAATTGTGACAAAATTTTATGTTCTCCAATAACAATTTTCTGGTAGGCGTTTTTATTGATGTTTGTGCGGCATATGAAAATGTTGTTCTCCCACTGCTCAAGCAAAAAATGCATCAGCTGAACATTCCTGAGAGAATAACAAATTTCGTATCAAACTTACTTTCACATATTACGCATATTAGTCCGTTCTGAAGGGAGATTTTTACCAGCTAGATTTACCTGGAAGGGACTACCACAAGGCTCTGTCTTGAGCCCTTTGTTATACAGCCTCTACACTCATGATCTAGACAGATCTGTGAATTACTTAGGTAATGTCCTGCAATATGCAGATGACAGCCTTGTTTGTAACTGATGCCTCTACTGCCAAAGCTACCTCCCGTTTATCCCAAGCTGTCAACTATCTTAATAACTGGCTGTCTGAGCATGGCCTATCAATATCTCCTTTGAAATGCAGTACTGTGGTTTTCTCTAGGCTAAGGCAAATACCAGAAGTGTCCATATATATTGAAAATACCCTAATCCCCACTGAAAATCAGGTGAAATTTCTAGGAGTTATTCTGGATAACAAAATGACAGGAATTCCTCATCTACCATATATTGCTTCCAAATGTGAAAAAAACCTCAATGTAATCCGATCCCTGTCAGGAGCCTGGTGGGGTTCCCACCCCTACTCCCAAAAGCTTTTATACAATGCTCTTATTAGAAGTCATTTTAACTATGCCTGCTTTTACTGGAACCATGTAGCAAAAAGGCTCTTAATACCTTGGACAAAATTCAGTCAAAATGTCTACGTATAATAACAGGTGCCATGAAATCTACTCCCATTTCTGCTCTACAAGTCGAATGTGTTGAGCCCCCCTTATTTCTACGTAGACAATATCTCTCAGATAGGTTTCTGTTCAAAGCTGCTTGTTATTCACACCATCCTCTCCTCTCCAAACTTCGTTCCTTGTATCAGTCGGTCAGGGACTCTCCATATGGGTCCCACAAGGATTTGCCATGTATTATAAAAAGTTATATTAAATTCGTCAATGTTCACTCTCCTGTTTATCAATCCCATAGCAATCCACTTTTCAATATCCCATACGAGGCTCTAATTTTCAACCCAGACATTATTCTAAATTTCGGAATAGATAAGAATACTATTGGAGTAAATAACAAATTAAATATACTCCTCCTCCAAAACTGGCATGATTGGTTAATTATGTACACTGATGCTTCAAAGTTAAGTGACGAGGGATTAGTTGGGTCCGCAGTCTGGATCCCCAAATACAAGATTATTTTAAATTTTAACTCTCCGCCTGACTCATCTGTATTCACAGGTGAGTCTTTAGCTATTTTAGAGGCGGTCTTATATGCGGAATCTCACAATCTGGAAAGGATTCTCATCTTCTCAGACTCCCTCAGTTGCCTTCAAAGCATTGCATCCAGTCCTTTTCACTCTAAGATAAGATACCCCCTAATTTTAAATATTAGAAAGTCTCTGTTCAACTGCCATAAAAAAGGGCTGAAAATTGTTTTGGCTTGGATCCCTAGCCACTGCGGGATTCAGTGTAATGAAATTGCGGATCATTTAGCTAAAGAAGCCACCAAATCTGGCTCCCTCCCTAAACAATGCCTCTATGCATATGACCTCCTACCAAAGGCTGGATCCAGCCTTCTGTCTACATGGCAAAGTATCTGGCATCAGTCTAAACTTTTAAAATGTAAACACTATTCCAAAGTCCAAATTAATATCCCATCAAAACCCTGGTTCTTTCAATATCGTCACTTTAATAAATCATTCACCTCTACTAATTGTCGCCTTCGCTTTGGACATGCTTGTACTCCGGTACACTTCGCTAAACTAAGGATTAGGGATAGCTCAATATGTGAATGTGGGCTAGATGAAGGATCCGTAAACCATCTGTTCTTTGAGTGTCCTAACCTTTCTCACTTTCTCTATGATATCCTACCCCACTACATACCGCGTCCTGTAAATTTCCAGTATTTGTTGTCCCTAGTGTATACTCCTTTTGTAAATATTTTGTGTGATTTTATTCGTACTAATAATATTAAACTGTAAAATTACTAATCAATTTTGGTGATGGTACCTAAAAATGTGACGTCTTTTGTTGTAGATTGTGAACCCACTTGTAAAATTGAGATCTCTTTAATGTAATAAATATTTACTTGTCACTTCCATGACTGACTTGACACTGGCAGAATTCTATCAAGAGAAGCCATAATTTAAAAGAAGAAGAAGAAACTTTTCATGTTTTTAAATATGTAACTAATGAAAAAATACAGGCTCAAAATATGTCAGTTGGCGTATAATAGACGACACTTTTGCGATCTTTTACCAGCACTTCATGTGTGTAAATTTTAGGGATTTTTCTATACTAAAGTCCAACGATGACGAATGGGTAGCTGGTTTGAGTTTGAGGAGCGTGTGAAAAGCCGCTTATTTTATAGTAATTTTATATTGTTTATTACATTATTTTAATGTGGATCTATTTAAAAATAATTTCTGTTACATATTCTTTATCAAATAAAGTTTCACATGAAAGATGCATAATACATTTCTCCTACAAATAGTTGCAAGTTTGAAATTAATCACGACATTTTATACTTGAAACAACCTTTTTTTTAAATATTTTTCCCAAATCTCTAATTAGTAATAATGTAGTTTACAACATAAGTATCCAATAAAAATGTGTATTGACGGTGAAAGAATATTCACTACTCCAAATAATCTCTTGGGTGTGGTAAAAGGCAGATGGAAATCAGGAGATGGGTAACGGCATCTTCCTAACAACAACTAGTTCCAAGGAAAAAAATGCGGTTGTCAATCCACTTTATTAAAATATTTTCATTATTATTTCTATTATATTTAAATTAAAAGTTTCTGGGAATAACTGTGTCTAGAAAAAAATACTGGAAATAACTTCGCTTTTAGCACTAATGTTATAATAATATATAAATTTAGACGAAAATAATTTTTATTATAACTACTTGTATAAACCATAACATTATACCCATTTATTTAAAGAAAACACGAATTAAGTAAATTATTTCCTCCTAGCAGTAAAAAATTGCCGCAATGGTTGCAACATATAAGATATGATCCACTTGAAAGATACTGTTGAGGGGATCATTCACACACAAACCGAGGGGATGCACGCATTGCGCAGCAGCTCGCTTTAAAAAAATGATGTATCGGCCATGTCAGAGACCTCACAGTGGCCGTAGGTATGTCGGCACTAGTCGTTTAGTTCAGATGCAAATAATATTCTTAGAAATAATAAATTTAGTTAGTTATTTGATTAGAAATGCTAAAATTCCATTCATAGTACACCTATACGTCCCTGAAACGACCAACGGATTGTTTGTTACATACTGTATAAATTGTTTAAACCACTGTGATTGTTCAAATCTGTATTAGCCTTTATTTTTTAATAAAAGATCATTCTTATGAAACCCACATTTCCCATATTACACAAAACATTGATAATATTTTAAATTTGTTCATAAATAAAAAATAATAGTTAAAATAATACCTAGAAAGCGTACACTCTGGCCCCACTCTTTGCCATCAGCTATTAATTACAGTCTCGCGGACTTCGCAATGTGACAAACAAATTACATAAAAGAAATTGCAAATGGCTACATACAATGCGTGTTTTTTGAGACATTCATGAACATCCTACGAAGACGAATGCGTGATGAATATGTAATTTGTGCAAAACACCAAAAGTAATTTATTCATGTCCAGGGTGGGTATACTAATATTGCGAGATGCGTCTGTGTGGCTAGAAAATATCAATGTAGATGTTCTATTAGAAGTTCCCACGCTCAAGGACTACAGTCTTAATCAGGGAATAATAAATGTTTTCTTGCTGTGGTGTAATTTTTTGAAAAATTGAAGACGATCTTATAAGTTTTCTTCTTCTCGTGGTTTAAAATTACTTTAGTTTTCAATTAGTTTCGTAGTTTCTTAATTGTCAATGTCAAATCAACAAATATTTTTTGCTACACAAATGTGTATGTGAAGAAGCATAAAAGTAAGTTGAATGCAGTGGAGATGCGATCTCTTCGTAAAATGTGCGGCATTACCATGGCCGACCGAAAGCGAAACGAAGAGATTCGCAATATGGCAGGTTTGAAAGATGACCTTATCACAAAAATTGATAAGGGCGTGCTTCGGTGGTTTGGGCACGTTGAGCGAATGAGTGAAGACCGATGGTGAAGAAAATATATAGCGCGAAAGTTAATATTAAAAGGTGTCGAGGTAGACCGAGACTAACTTTCGAAGACCATGTGAGCAAATTGCTCGAAGAAGGTAGGGTCAAGAGTACTCGGATACCTAGACGTGCATGCATGAAGAAGATAATGAATCTGAAAGAAGCGAAAGAGGGTTGTAAGGATCGTGACACTTGGCGATCTGTTCTCTCTGGCTACCCCGTCAGGGATTGTGCGTGAAGATAAGTTTTTTTTTTTAATGTGTATGTAGAGGTTATACAAATTAGGTATAATGATATAAAATAGTGTGAACATTATTTTATACCGATAATATAACCTCATTCTTAACCACAATCAAGCCCTGCATTAAACCAAAAAATATAGGTTTGGATGAAAAATTGTGAAAGCAGTGATAAGTTCATAACTAACACAATCACAAAGCTAATATAAGTTACACAGTTGGCACATTCCACGTAAGTCCTTTTTATTTTAAATTTACAGGGAATCAAATCTAGGTTACTTCTTAAGACTTACCCCAGGATCTTTATAATATCTCTTAGCATATTTTTTGTGATAATATCTCTCTTTTAATAGTCTTTTTATTCTTATCTCTTTGCCAGCTGGTGTCTCATCATCACTACTTGTCTCATTACTGGAGGATAGCAGAATATCACGGAGCCATTCACGCTCCTCTCCTACAGAGGCTAAATTGTATAGACGTAATCGATCACTTTGACGCTCTGTAATAAAATAGATTTTTTTTAAAATTTTGTATTAACCTTACAATTTACTGTAGTTAAAAGTTATTAGAATATTAATAAAAAGCATAAACAAATAAATGAAATAATGATGATTTCTAGACATTGATTGCAGGAACTCTGAATTGTCAGTTAATAAATTATTTATTTATTGTATAATGTACACACTATAAGATGTTAACAATATTAAACATTTAAATAAGATGTACAAAGATGAGCTTAACCCATATAAAAGTTCTCTTCCAGCAAACCCTTAGGGAAGGATAAATATTTTTTTTTATGTAGAGCATTTGCTTTACCTATTAGATAACATAATCACTACTTATTAAAAATCTAATACATAAAAGTTATTTTTTGTTTATTTGTATTTTATGTGCTGCCAAACCGTTCATCAGATTGCGCTAAAACTTTGTCAAATTATTACTTCCACTTGTGCGAAGGTTATAGACATAGTACAATTACAGTAGGTAAGGTAGGCGCTCATATTGTACTGACATATTTATTTGAAAGTCATAATAGGTGATTCAATTTCAGTGAATGCATTATCATTCCTAATTAAACAATATAGCCCTTCCAAATTTAAAACAATATTTCCATAATTTATTTGCGGCAGCAATGTGGCCAGTTAGTTGGCTATAAGATATTTATGAAAATTAAATATGCATATAAATATAGGTATATTAAATTTAATAATATACCTATTTCATGGTTCTTTACATGTGATGTTTTGTGAAACTGAGAGAAAATATTATTTTTTGTTTTGACTACTTTTTTGTTTAACTGTAATAGCAACAGCAAGTTTAAACAATTTGAGATAAAAATAAAATATGAAAAACTACTATCCAGAATACCAAAAATATGATGTGTAACACAATGTGATATGGAAATGATTTATGCAGTAAAGCAGAAGCACAAATGGCTCGGGTCAACTGAGGGAGAAGGAGAACCACACTCACACAGAATACTAGCTTCAAATAGCATCGTAATGCTGTTGTATTTGCTATTAGTTCAATAAAAATACAAATTACATAATATAAAATATACCCTTATAATGTCATTGGGCCATAGTATCATCATAACATCTTTTCTACAGACTTCAAAAAGGAGGAGGTACTCCATTTGACTGTATGATTTTTTATGTGTGATGCTGTTACCTCATATCTTTTTTTTGGATGAACCAATTTTGATGATACTTTTTTTTATTTGAAAGCTAGTGCTTCTCATGTGGTCCCATATAAATTTGATCAAGGTTTGATCAAGGTCTGACCAATAGTTTTTGAGTTATTTTTAATAATTTATATTGGAATTGGTTGTATAATTTTTTTTTTAATTTTAAATTATTATAGTATTTAACTTTTTGATTTTTATCGCACTAAAAATGATTGTAATACCAAGTAAGCTTAAAATGCTTATTACAAGCAAGACCAAATTGCCATAAAAGTAGAAAATAGCAGATTCATGACATTATGAATTACCATCCCTTATGTCCTAAATTATTAGGCCATTGTCACCTTTAACTTAGATTATTATTAATATGCTTAATTTTACAATTTAAATTCAAAATAAGAGCACAAAAAATAACTACCTTGCTTTGAAGTAACAATCCCATGCATCATCTTATCACCTTTCGTCATTTCATTTTCTATTGACTTAGCATCAGAGTCTTCACTGTCACTCCCATCATCAGAGTTGAGAATACTTTCCACTTGATTCACGAATGGTCTGATGTCTAGGGCGGCTTCCAGCCTTTGTATATGTATAGGCTTGGCAACTTCATGTCGCTTGAGTACTGTCTTACCAACAATAGATTTGTCAGACATAGTTCCTAATCCTAAAAACAAGATAGATACGTATGTACCAAAGATAACCTTAACGTAATAGAAAAGACTTATTTTAAAACACTGAGCAAAATAGTAACAAGAATGCGATTATCATAATCACGATATGATCACAATGTAGCTTTAACATACAAATTACGATAATTTGGAATAACACTTTGAGCCTGTTTGGACCCTAGTATGAAGTAGTACTTACACCCAATTATTTATCCTCCGATATAACCTTACGGTATTACTTAACACAAAACTCCATAACATTCACAAAATGGCGAACGAGAATATTCGACAAATCGCTGTCAATGTCGTCGCCTGAGCGGCGCACAAAACTAGTACTCATTTCGTATTTGAGCTTGAAAAAACACGAACCCGCCATAATAGCTACAGAAGTTTGACAACTGTCAATGATCCTTTTTAGCAATTCCATTGGAGGAAAAACACATGGATACTCAACCACCAATGATCGATCGAAATTCTTAGTCTTTACCAATCATAATCTAAATTTCTTGTAAGGAGAGAAAATGTTATAGAAAACAGTCTAATAATACCATCACTCCAATCTCATGGCTCCAGTAGACGTTGGCCGAGCGTGCTCGCCGAGGGCGTTCGGCCAACGTGTACTGGGCCGTTTTGTGTGTATTTGGCGTTTGCGGCCAACACTCGTCCACAAGCCGTATAGTGTCGGTTTTCCGTGCACAAATCAAAGAAATTTGGCGCAAGCCGCAAACAGCGATCACACGTTGGCCGAGTGTTCAGTTCATAGTTACGCGTCGAAGTAAACTGTAGTGTCGGCTTAATAAAAAGGATAGTTGAAGGAAATAGAGGTAGTCAAAGTGTGCACTTACATAAATATACATATACAATACAAATATATACACACACACACACACACACACACACACACACACACACACACGCGCACGCAAACGCGCACGCGCACGCGCACGCACACGCACACGCACACGCACACGCACACGCACACGCACACGCACACGCACACGCACACGCACACGCACACGCACACGCACACGCGCACTCACACGCGCACGCGCACGCGCACGCGCACGCGCACGCGCACGCGCACAAACGCACACGCACACGCACACGCACGCACGCACGCACGCACCACGAACGCACGCACGCACGCACGCACGCACGCACGCACGCACGCACGCACCCACGCACGCACGCAAGCACGCACGCACGCACGCACGCACGCACGCACGCACGCACGCACGCACGCACGCACGCACGCACGCACTCACGCACGCACGCAGGCACTCACGCACGCACGCACGCACGCACGCACGCACGCACGCACACACACACACACACACACACACACACACACACACACACACATTGCATTAAATAATACATGTTTAGTTGCGATTTCAGAGTACCTACCTAATGATAAATATTATTATAAACTAGCTGTTCCCCGCGACTTCGCTCGCGTGTTAGGGTTTTTATGTTTTTGTACAGAACCCTAATTATTTTTCTAATATAAAAGTAGCCTAAGTTACTCCTTATGAAATCAGCTATCTACCAGTGAAAGTTCCGTCAAAATCGATCCAGCCGTTTCGGAGGTTACCCGGAACAAAGAGACAGACAGACAGACAGACAAAAATTTTAAAAACTGTATTTTAGTTATAAGTACCGTATTTATATTCATATACATTACTAAATGTATTTTTAACAACTGTAATTTTTACATTACAAACAGACACTTCAATTTTATTTATCTGTATAGATTATCTCTGCGTTTATGTTGCTCAGGGATAATGTAGCTTAGGGGCTTCTTTTGGGCTATCATTTATTTTGAAAAAACCCCCAGCGAAGCGGGCACGGGTCAGCTAATAGATCCTATAAAGGTTTCTTTTTTCCTTTTGAGGTCGGAACCCTAAAAAGGACAAACTGAGATTATTGTTGTATGTGTAGTTTTTTTTTTGTTCACTCTCAGAAGAGTGAAGCGCTGTAAGTATATGACAGCGGCCGCGATTGCCCTCCATTGCCCTCCCTCCGCGATTGCGTCCATCATCATCTAGCTACCAACGCAGAATGAAACACGCCAACGTGTGAACGGCACCACGAAAATCTGCCGAGTGCGCTCGCCAAGCGCGCTCGGCCAACGTGTACTGGAGCCATCAGATTGATTGCAAGTTGCGGCACGTAAGTCTAGCGCTGAATGAAACGTGAAGGGGACGCATACCAATTGAATTGCATGAATATGACTGGAGAGCCAATCAGCGCGTGCGAACGATACGCACGAGCCAATCAGTGCAACGTATGCGCAATAAGCCAATCAGCGCGACTTTAACGCGACAATAACGGTCACCGCTAGACTATCGTGCCGCTACCTTATACTACCATAGGGGAATTATAAGATAAGAACAAAATTTTTGTACTTAAACACTTTATGCATATGACGTTTTACGTGGTACAAAATAACATAACTATATATTTTTTTAAGGCCTTAACAGTCGTTGAAATGCCTAAATCGTGGATATTTAAGTAAAAAAATCTCAATAACTGTTCATTTAATCCACAAAGAAAAAATACAGTATAACAGAAGAGGATTTGGTAAATGTTTTTAATTTAACATAATTGTATTTTTGTCATCCCCTTATTAGAAAAAAAATCCCCAAAGAGTACCTATCTTTGTCATATTTTGCAATAATTCTCCAAAACGGCACAAGCTTTTTAAATAGTTCTTACACTAAAAAAAAGGTCTTAAAAATATTAATTTTTTTAATTGAGAGTTTTATTTTTATTCCCTGTTTTATAAGAGAATATATCATTTTTCCATGAAATTGAATATATTTACGCGAGCGCGCATGCTCCGTCGCCATGTAAGCTCTGTCACAGTCCGTTGACAGTCCGTTTTTGGACATCTTCGGGGGTGGACCGCACGTCGGTGTTGGAGCGACTTCGTTCAAATATATTTTAGTTTTTTAAAAGTTTATACTCAATTATAAATATTTTTATGACCAGAAATACTTAATTTAGTTAATATCTGTACACTGGTAACTGTAAATATTATTTTCTAAATAAATGAATTTTTAAAGTGCCCAAAGAAGAAGAAATTTTCGCAGCGACGTTGATTAGTCAAATTGAAAAATGCATTTTTATATAATTTAGATGTGGAACGAAACGACGAACATGGTCTCGTTACTTAGATTTCGATAGTTTTTAATACCTATGTCATCTTATTGTTGCATATTTTTATTAATTAGTTGATACTGAATTTTATAATTATGTATTACAATAAAACGCTGTTTTTATGAGTATGACTTTATAAAATATTATTGGGAAGGGAAATAAAGATACAGATACTTACATTTAGGTACACTGTTATCAAATTAAATCAAACAATTTAAATAAATAAAGGAATGGTGCTTACCTAAGTATAAATATCTATATAAAGACATTCTTGGGTTTATGGTTTTTTTTATGTTAGACAAACTATCATCTAAAAAATGTAAAAATTTTAATTTGGAGAGGGGTTTCTCTACGTGATAAAGTTAGAAATGAAGATATTTGCATTAGAACCAGAATTACTGACATAGCCCAACGGAATATTACAGTGAAATGGCAATGGGTTGGTTATATAACTTGGAAAACAGATAAAAAATAGGAAGAAAGGTCCTCGAGTGGCAACCTCGTACTGGTGAGCGAAGTGCAGGGCAGCCTCCCACTATATTGAGGGACGACATGGTAAGATATGCAGGAAGTCGATAGATAGCAGGTGGTTTAGGCTTTTGTGGCATTCCTTTGGAAGGCCTATATCTATGTCTATATATATATATAAGCCTTGTGAAGGGATGTTATGATGATGATCATAACTTCCCTTCACAAGTGCCGTGTAGTGGCGGTCAAGAATGATGATGATAATGAAGCAAAATGTACTTACTACGAATACTCAATCTTTATTCCTCTTCACGTATTCTCATACGCTTTTCTCACTCACACACATGCACACACATACAAATAGGTCGCAAATAATACTTACCTAACTATTAGGCAAGAGTGTATAAGCTTTTTTTAAGTCAGTGCACTTCACCATCGTAGGCTAAATAACCAACCAATGAAGATATTCGCAGTAGAATCAGAGTAACTGACATAGCCCAACCGAATATTAAAATGAAATGGCAATGGGCTGGCTATATAACTAGGAAAATTGATAATAAATAGAAAGAAAGGTTCTCGAGTGACAACCGGTAAGCGAATTAGTACTCAACCTTTATCCCTCTTCACGTATTCTCATACGCTTTTCTTCACACACACACACACACACACACACACACACACACACACACACGCACACACGCACGCACGCACGCGCGCACACACACAAATAGGTCGCAAATAATACTTACCTAGTACTATTAGGCAAGAGTGAATAGGTTTTTGTTAAGTCAGTGCAATTCACCATCTTAGACTACATAATCACTTATCGATGGGATTGTAGTTGCTTTACTACTTGCTGGGTAAAAATAGTAAAAAAGAATTTACCCTGTGAAAGTTTGCATTTAGATATAATTTTTCTAACCAACCATAAAAATATGATGAGAATATGTATATAAGTATAAAGGTTGCCTCACACGGGACAGTAATAATATAATATTATATCTTCCATTATCTACGCATGAAAAATTTTAAAATCTCTGAATCCCCAGGTATGTTCATATTAAGAGGCTGAATAGAGCCACATTGATATGCATGGGAATCGTTTTGTAATTTCACGTCATTATCGAAAAAAAATTGTACGTATTTCAGGTGGCGGTTTGCAAAATACGATTCCACAAAAATTAACTCAATAGAAAATAATTGCAAAGTTGCTTCTAAAAATACTTAAATTTTCAACGTCAATTTTTTCTTACGTGGTAGAGCCATGCTGCAGCTATATTAGTAGTAGGTATAGTTGTATCACGAATGGGTCGGCTTGACCGAGGAAGGGCCACGCTCTCACGGAATAACATGTA